TCATCGAGTATGTGAGAGTTGAATGTCTGGGCATGGAAATAGGGCTTTGCAGTGCATACAGACGCGTCTGATTGGTGATATAATATAACTAGCTATAGAACTATCAGCGTAGTGACTACGTAGTATATAGTTAATCTTGACCTCCTGTCTTCTTTTTTGTTTTTTCTTTCTGTCTTCTGATCCATCCATCTGATATGATCTGATCTGATCATGGCGCATGCCAAGCTGCATTGCAACACAAACAATGCTCGGCCTAAATTTTTGGTTGCACGAATACAGTCATACACAGCCCCGTAGGTTGCGACCTCCTTGATTCTTTATAACAGAGCCAAGGGCTTGGTTTTCGGTCTCTCTTCCATCGTGTAAACAGCAGAGTGATATAAAATACAATCAAAACAACAGAGTATTCGTAATTCTGTATTGTAAATATACCGCGCTTAGCGCTCGTACTGAAAATTACACATTACCGAAAACGGGCTAGTGTGAAATCCCACCTGGGAAAAGAACGATCGGCATGTCCGTTTTTTTTTTCTTTTTTTCCCCTCTGCCGCTTTCTTCTTGCATGCATGGCTTTGCTTGCTGGCTTGCCTCATTTTGGGATTGTTGCACGTTCTGTCCCATTCCTACCGCATGTACGGTACGGAGTAGAGTGTATACCGTGGTTTCCCAGAGTAAATGCTCGCATGACCACCTCACATACTGCAAGTCCAGTCGTAGATCTGCTATGCGGTTTTTCCGCCAAAACACGTCAGTCAATTTAATTTAGATCAATTCTGTCGCTAGATTCGCTACTCTCGGTTTTTGCTAGAGGTGCATGCATGTTCGTGTAATGCAATGCAACACTGCCTGAGTCGTTTTTTTTTTTATCCGCTCTCTATTCGTATTATGACTTTCAACTTTGATTTGTGGATTATTCTCCATTTTTTTTCTCAGTGTGTTGGAGATTTGGAGTACCAGATTTTTTGGTATTGTTTGGTCGAATTCTTCCAGAAAAGTTGGTACCATGGTTCGGCTATTCGCCTCTTGGGATACCTCGGTGTTTGTTCCTATCAATCCTATCATAGTTGTTAGGCTGTATGCATAATTAATTCAGTATAGAGGTGTATTCATTAATTGATGATCTAGATTTTAAGCCGCGGTGATCTGATTATTTGACATGCGATGGGCATTGCATTAGGGCTAATCTGCACAATATGGTGTTTACCACTGTATTTGCCAGGTACCTAGATGTGCCAATTCTTGAGAATGGATGTAGAAATTCGAAGACCTTATTGAGCTCATTCTGATTGTCTCGATTTTCGCGTTTCAGAATTGAATGGCCTGTGAAGATATTACGTAGGTATGCTCATGGATATATATATATATATATTGACATAACTCCATACAATTCGGACTGTTGCCCAACAGAATTATTCAAACCCGATTTATAAATCAACCTTTACGTTTGAAAATCCATACTATCACACACACACATATATACCTAGGTATATTCTAATTCCCAAGTTTATTTCAAATGGATTTAGGTCGGTGTCTCTCCCATCCGCCGCCGTCTTCGGGAAAGCAATCACTTGTTGTATGTATCTTATAAATATTTAAAATGGCTTTTGCTATTCTAGAAACTTGACATGGTCCTATTTGATCGAAAGACAAGGATTTCGATGACCGCGTAAAAAGCCCTAGTCCACCTCTTTTGCCAGCAACATGAATAGGACTTTCAAACAAGAAATCATATTAAACATTGAACTATACTACGGCCAATACCTACATTGGATTATCCTCAACGAACCCTTTCACTACGCTGTACAGTAAATAGTAGATATAATCATCATACGATATTCAGGAACCGAGGCTCTCTCTAGACAGTTTGTTCTTCTTCCTTCCTTGCATTCTTATTTTATATTTCCTTCTTACGTTCGTGGCAAACAGACAGAGCGATTCCCAGCAATTCTGCGACCATCATAGAGCACGAAAGAAGTAACAGTACGCGTTAATCTACGGAGATAAGGGCTATTCCGGCATCCAGCCAACCACACGCAAAAGGCTCCCCGCCCCACCCTTGTAACTCGGTGGCAATCGACGACCGGAAGAACATTGGCGAATCACGTTGTCTAGAAGCCCAGAGAAGTTTTCTTCGCAACGGAATCGGGCCGAGCGGGATGTCGGCAGCGCTCTGGGATTTCTTCCTGTGCGTTTCCGCCGACTTGCTCTCTTTGCGTTTTAGCCCGGCTGCTGCACGTACTACGTAACTTAGAAAACGTAGCTATTCTGGTTAAACATACGCCCCGAAAAATCCCTCATCTATAAGTGTAGCACTTATATCGCTGTGACTACGTGTTTAGTTGCGGATCGTATGCGGAGGGCCAGCTGGCCCGCGTTGACTGCTACAAGAAGGATTTTTATGCCTCAGTCTAGTGTCAGTTTACAGCTTTACCGTGTCCAGCGTAGTAAGACCAGACAGAGTAAGTACTCCATACGGAGTACTCCGTATGTACGTTATGTATCGTTGTGCGGAGAAAAAATCCCCCCCCAAACAGTACGAGCCCGAGGTAGCACTCTTGCCCCCCCCCCCACGTACTATTTGTATGTATGGCTGAAAGAAGAAAAAAAATTGGAAATAGCTAATCTGGTGTTCGTTGGCTTATGAGTATGGAGATTGGACACACGACACCGACCCAGTCTGGCCCACACTTAATTAATTCAAATTTCGTAAAGGTGTCTGATTTGGCATGCTAAATCAGCCTCATTTGTGCGCAGTGCCGATTCCCGGTCACGTATCTCTCGACTTGGTATAGAACGTGGGTTTCAGAGTATGTTCTACTCTGGGTATTGAGAGACGGGATTTTGGTCGGTAAATTCGTCAAGAGAGTAGGTAAGGAATGCCGATTGTTTGAGGCCAATCTGATGGTTTGATAGACATTGGGGTCGGGGTCTTTGATAATATCTTTCCTCGCTTGAGGTCTCTGTACATCTCACAGTTGCGCTGTTAGACTGTTGGCTGAATGTTTTGATACCTAGTCTTCCAATCTAGTCCGTATCTTTCTCTGTTATATGTTTCTCTGTTCGTCCTGAATATTATTATGCCAAACTTGAGCGCCAAAACCTCCCCAATGGAATATCCCCAATCACGCTCAACTTTCGCTTTGTTATAAAATGCCATATTACGCATCTCCGGTCATCTTCAGTAGTCTGCATACAAGACCCCGTTGATGGCATAATCCTTGACCCCTAAGCACCAGGAACGTGTGGTGTCGTACTGCTTTCCGTTGCTCGGTTTCAGCAGCGAGATCAATAGATGACCATACTTTTGTGGACCCCTTTAAATGCCGTAGGTCTCATCTTTAGTTTAGCCTTCATGTAGATAGCCTGATATACTTAGGTAACGCCAGAGAGAGAAGAATAGTGCTCTATATCTTCACTTGCTCAATGTCCGAATCTCCAAAAGCCAGCCCTCTAACGTCGTTTTTTCAGAAACCCCCCTATTTGCAGACGGTGCTAGATATTGTCTCCAATTCTGTGTAAATTCAAGTCTTTCCTATTGGCCAGACAGACGTTTGGCAATGCCGGCTATGTATGTAGCGGGAATTCTCGCACAGCGGATTTTACTTCCTGCACTCATCTTACAATCTCAACCTCAAACCACGTATTATTCAACAATCAACAACGTGGATATGGATACTCCTTCAGCAATCCGCAATACACCTTGATTGTTTAGCCGTGAACACGCCGTGTAAAGAAATCTGATGGGATGCGCTAGACATTCATATATCTCGCTTAGGCCAGCGGCGCACCGCACAAGGTACCTTGAACGTGTTACGGCAGGCATAGTTCTCGGTCAAGTCACCACCAATATGATCCGTCCTAGGTAGTCGTTTGAGCCTCTGGATAGGCATCTATCAAAATCTCACCACGATACAGGCCACCATGGCCAGAGAGCCATGTCGGGATCACTGGAATGCAACCATCCTCTCCTACAGTACGCGACATTCATCTTTTCAATAGACTGCTGGGGAGAGGGTTTTCCCTATCACAAGAATTAGCCTCACTATAGGTTAAGTCGAAGATCGATGATGACAGCTCAGCTACATCCGCCGATTTATCAACCATGTTGAATTGAGCCGAAGTGAAACCGAGCTGTCTTGGGAAGCATTACATGGTACTGACAAACAGTTCGATAAGTCGCATGCTTTATTCACAAGCTAGAGATCGAATGGTACGGCTAGGTAATCAGATCAATGATGAATGGGCGAACTATAAATTCACTCCTTGGGCTAGCTCTACAGAAACTTCACTGAACAATACAACGAGCGGATGAGAATGGATTGAAGATTGACAGACAACTTTAGATACTCGGATCTACCTGGTATAGCGCGAGATTGCTTTAATATCCGACTATGCTACGAGGCTCGGTGCTATATCTGTACGAGATGTTGAAGCCGTGATGCAATGAACAAACCCTTCCGAGAGGGCAGTTGGGAGAAATATCAACTGCCCTCTGATGTTGGTATGGCAGTATTTATATTTATTACAATCAAGCAGCATAGTATAAACTAACTAGCGACATGAAATCATGCGAAATCTTTATGAGAACAATAATTGACCCCATTATTTTCAAAATATTATTGCCGTTGGCCTGAAAGACCAATCTAGTAGGGTAAAACATTCTACTGAGATAGTGCACTTCACTTTCAAGAGCCTTGAGACTCCTATCAAGAAAATGAGGTACCTGGCATGAGATTCTCACTGTTTATGCTTACAAGCAGCACCTGAAAACATGACCAGCGAGATACTTGTTACTGCTACTTCATTAAGAAGGCGCAAAGTATGATTTTAGTCGTAGAACATCCTTTGAGCTTGAGATCTACCGACACAAAAAGATCCAATCAAATGCAGCCAGAAGTCGAGAGAACCCAAATTTGTGCCCTTGATAAATCAAAAAGAATAACCATCCGCATTGATATCATAATAGAGGAGTAAAAATCTCACGCCATCGTTCACCATCTTCAGTAGTCTGCCTGTGCACTGCCATACGAGACCCCGTTGAACTCCAACTGGAAAAGCATGTAGCCGGAGGTGGGGATAACTGCAATGTCGTAGACTATCTTGTAGTAAGACTGGCCATCGCTGTTGGTGTGCTTTTCGAATAACTTTTTTGGCACCTTGCGGAGATCAACTTGCAACTCGCAATGCTTCTCAATCTCTATTTTAATGGGGTGTTATTTCTTAGTACATTGTATATATATGGAATAATCAAGCACAAAAGAAACAAAAATAGACTTACTATTTGTCAATCTCTCCGGAGCAAGCTTGGAACTTGAGAAGTTGATGAGCAGGCGTGGGTTCGCTTTACAGAGGCGACGGTAGAGGTACTCGCTTGCTCCAAAGCCTCTGACTAACAGAAGAGCCTGAATAGAAAGACCCGATGCCTTAATCCTCCTAATCTGAGCGGCAATAAGATTTAGTACATCTTGCACAACGGGATCAAAGATTCCTTGTATCTGCCATCTGGAGAGGAGAGTTGAGAGTTCATATTAGTACCCATCTTGGCAAGGTCCATTGACGAAGTAGCTATCACGACTCACGTGTTGAGTTGTAGGAAACCGCCTTCCAGCCCCTTGAGGGCTTATCTGGGTAGGAAGGAAGTTATGCAGACGAGGACAGAATGAAAATGTGGTTAGTTGAGACGAGAGTAAAGGTGAGAGTAGAGGTGAGAGTAGAGACCGCTGAGTAGAGGGAACAGAGGTTGGTTGACGGGAGAAGTCGAAGGTAGATGCCTTACGAGATTAGATGCCTTAAAACACCTGACCTCGCTTTCTTGCGCCTTCAGTTTCTCTTTCCACTTTGCACACTCTTAACTTATTTTCACAGCTGAGCCCACGCCATATTTCTCCACCAACACCTATTCAATGTGAGTGACAACTGCGACTGAGAGCGTTTCCTCTACAATCATGAACGACTACCTCGCACTCACCCCAGACCTGGACGATATGTGGGACTGTAAGCTCAGTTGGCTTTTGATATCTCTTTACCATGCTTGGATTTCTGCTGACAAAAGTTGATGGTAGTGCATGGATCGATGAGACAGCATCTTGAAGGAATAGAAGAGGTCTGTAGCATCAAAGACTGGTAGAGAACACAACGTGCTGACATCCTTATAGCAAATATGCGGCTTGAAAAACGGAACTGAAGACTTGATGCAAGAAAACATGCAATTGAAGAATGAACTAGTCTCTTTTCGAAGAAAAGAGAAGCTTTTGCAGTCAGTATTGACGAAGATCGAAGCAGAAGCACAACAAATGGCTACTGGTGACGATGCTATGGACGATGATATCTACATGATTGGAGGATCCCAGAAAGCCGCCACAGAAATTTCAGCTCACCATGAAGCAGTCTCATTTCTCACAAAGTTCTTTCAAGAAAATGTACGGCTAAACGAGAAGGCTCGCCGCCAGGGCGAGCTGCTTGCACAAGCGAATCGAGAGGCCTCCGAGTCAGCTACTCAGAACTAGAAAGTCATCACTGAGCTCGTGACGAAGCTTAATACCCTTCAAATGCGCAGAGAAACCATATACGATGACCAGTGCGCCGCGCAATGGAACAGACTTGGACATGCTCTCGATGTTTGGACGAGAAAATGCTTCAGAGATAGAGAAGCCCTGAATAAAATGACTTCACAATCGCTTAGTGAAGGAAACCTGCCTGCAGTTCCGCCAGAAGAAGTGCTAGAGAATGTGCATGCAAAACGCGCCTATATTCAAAGTGTCATTACTACAACAATTTTCGAAGAGATATTGCAAGCGAATTTCGTCCTTAGTCCTACGATCATGACTGCTAACTTTTTAAACACTCTAAGCGAAGAAGTGAAACTTTCTTGTAAGAAATAGCTGCGTACTTCTATGAAGGTAGTTGCAGTACTAATTTTATGATAGCCGACAGTCAAGTTTGGGAATATTGGCGCTTAGCCACCAGTGAGGGCTTGGATGTTTTTGATACTTTTGAGTCTCATCGCCTTCGCGAAGCATACAATGAGCTTTCAATGAGAGTTGATTATTTGATCAGGAAATATTGCGGCCCAAGTGTCAAGATAAATACTGCTCGCGGAGTAGTTTCTGAGTGCTTTGAGGATTGCGTGGCTTTCAAGAAGAGACTCGAGCGTCAGGAATTCGAATATGAGTTTCAACGAAGTGAATGAGGAACGCCATACTCAGAACAGATGAGGAGTCTAAACTTTGAGAAAAGTGACGGTAGTACTGTGCAGATAAGTGTCTGGCCTTCTCTCCACAAGGTGTCTTTCGAACACGACCGGTTGCTCATAGAGCCAGAGGCTGTATGGACAAGATCTCCGGGTGACATGGATGACGTGGACATGGTAAAACAGTCTGCCATAAAGAATAACCGGAATAATATCAAAAATCACCGCGTGAGACACAATTACAGCCGTGTCTAATCTACACGTGCCTAGACTCGTGGGCGGGCTATGTATTTCAGCAGGCTGGAAATCGACCTTAACAGAATGGTGTGGGAGACTGGCCTAGGTAGTGGACCTTTTGTCAGTTAGAAAAAAAAACAGTTTAAGTATCGATAGATGGTGCTCCACAGGATGAATGCATTTCTCTTGGTGTCATGTAAGTTGACCCAATCTCAACACTTGTTCTCAGTCACAATGGATGCCGAACAGACCCTGACACGGAAAAGCCAAGTTCATTGATAGCAGCAAGGAGTATACGCAGGATCTCTCCACCGGAAGCATAGCTACAAGAGGGCAGAAGCTCAACACGGACAGCTAATCAATGGGCATAGCTGTGCTAAATTGAGGCGGAAGTTGTATATTCGATATACCGGAGTCGACCCGATTCTGAGTGCTTCGGACTGAACATGGCAATGCATTATGGACAGGGAGCAGCTGCGGCGATAATCATAGCCCTTATGAGCGCGAATGGGAATTTGTGGGCCGTTTGCGAATTTTATGTTTATTTCCATACGGCTGATGATTGCTTTGGAGAACATGACAGGTGTTGGGGCGCTCCCATGGTGAGTCAAGCCAACTTACTATACACAGGCTGATACTGACGGGCTATAGGATATGGCCAGTTAATGAGCAGATTACTGATATTCTCCATAAGACAAACTTTGCGTTTGTGACGGGGTATTACACAGACAGCTGACTACAGGGCCGATGAACTACTACGGGCCAATAAAGGCTGAAGAGAATGTCGCTTGCAACGTGGGCTGCTACAAGAATAATTGACCGAAACTGGACGCAAACTACAAGCCATGATTTGTTCTCTAAAACTTCAGAGATTCCCTGCATTGGATGGAAAATGTGTTAGAGAATGTTAACAATCCTGACAATAAATTGAGATTCATGTCGAGAATTGCCATTATTTCTGCAAATCAGGTTCTAGAAAAACTCAACATTACGCCAAAAAACTAAAATGAGGTGCATAATTGACTTCAAGCAGCCGTGAGCACTACACAAATAACTCTGTACGGACAACAATCTGCCAGCTGCCTTTCAGAAATTGCCCGCAAAAGCTAAAGAAGTATCCCCCAAAGCTTTTACATCAATCGTGGTTGAAGGGAGACTTGCTAGACGCACTAAGGTGGGATCGTGATGGCAAACATCTTAGTCCTGTTGAAGGACTCATGCATCAGGGCTTTGGAGAAGATTTGAACTCAGTGCCAGAGGCGCATACCAAAGGTGCAACTGCTCGCCCTCTCGCCACCTTCTAATATTTTCGTTGGACTGTGAGGTCTTGCCTTCCAAGGTTGTCATGGGCACTTGGATCTACATGTCTATATTAACTAGGTAGGCAAGACTGAGTCCCTGGGAGCAGTAACTCGTCCAAGTTACAAACTTCATGCAAATACTTAGTTATTGAACAAGATTATACTTATAGCTTGGTAGAAAATCAGGGATGTAGATCTCAATAGTAGAAGGGTATCTACATCCATCCAGTCTATTAAACTCACCAACCAATATGAGTACCAATTAGAAAGAGAAAGAAAGGAGAAGTCGAGGAAAATTTCAAAAGGAAATAAGAAGAAAGAGGAAAGAAAAGTGTATGAAATGTACCAAAAAAAAGGAAAAGAGCCCTAAAGCCGTGCCGGGTAGATCCAAAAGAACCACACTCCAAGGGGATCGATCGGTTGTGCCAACAACTTCCTCAAACTGCCTTGTAACATTCCCAGCAAAGTGAGTCAGTACCACCAGGAGGGCGATTTTCCATCAAAAAACCGTCGACCCCATCTGGATCGTTCTCAGCATCTTGGTATGTAGATTCTACTCCGGTAACCGAAGCGTGAACAAATGTCACGGCAAATACAATCCATTTAATAATGGTAGTCATCTCAGTCGTGGCTCGGGGAATTCGATACTCTAGCGTATTATTTTGACGGCGTGTATGTTTTTCATCTGTCGATATTCCCGTGAAATTCCAAGCGTAGCTTCGCTGGCCGTCCTCGCCGGGGTTGGCGTTGATAATATCAACTAGTTCTTCGACTGTTTTGCAATCATAGATGGATGAAGCAAGCTTTTCACGGCTCCGCTCTTGAAGTAGTGGATTTGATTGAAAGTTGCTCCTGCAGAACTTTTCTTGCACCCGCTTGTCAATCGAATGAACACCATTCAAGCGTTCTTCAAGAACACAAATTGCCATGGAAATTCGTTTGAGCCAAACAAGGTCCCATTCGCCCTCAGCTGGAGAGACGTGGATGTGAAATGCACATTCCTTACTCATTTCCAGTTCTGCGTGGTTCACAAAGAATCCAACCACCAAGAAGATGCACTTCTGCCAATTGTCGATATCTCTGTAATAAAAAATCGGCGAGACGATTTCCAGAGGCCCTTAGCATACCGCATAGTTAGAAACAGCGAAATACTAGTAAATGGATGCATGCATCTCTCGATACGAAACCATATATTTCTCCGTTGTGCTGACTTACATTTGCCTTGGCTGTAGTTTTCTAATGGAAACTCACTAACCAACCTCCATTTTGCGTATCCTGGAGTTGAATAGCCAGACTCCATTGGAATGAATCCCAATTCATTTTTCATTTTCTGATTCCATTTTTGCACAAGATGCTGCCGAAGAGATTCACCAGTCTGAAGCTGGTTATCGGAACCTTTGGCGCTCATTAGAAATTCAAGCTCAATACCAAATCTGTAACCCCCAGGATCTTTTACTCTAGAGGGTTCTTCCTCAACTGAGTCAAGAGGCCGGGTCTGTTTTTTATGCTTCGTTATTCTTGACTTTTTTGCTGTTGAGGCCATCATGGTAGGACAAAACCGATGATGCTGATCGCAGTGGACGCTATAAAATTCGTTTGAGATAAGGTTGATGCGGAACTTCTTCTGTGCTTCACCGTTTTGTTGTTATTTATTGTTTTCTTTATTTTCTGACTTGTTTGATAGGGCAGGGAGGGGACAGTTGATGCTGAACAAGAAAAAATCGAAGGACGCAACTTAGGGGTAACTGAGGAGGTTAATATATATTGAATTGCGTCTATTATTATGCGTCAATGATGACTGTCTATTCTCTGCCACGACTATTAGTATCGAGAGTGACGGTATTCCAGGCCATCTTGGATCAGATGTCGAAAGGTGAGTCAGTCGTGTTGGCTCCGTGTTCAGATGAGACAGGGTGTGACAAATGTTATGACTCTTCTGCATTGTAGTATTAGGGAGACTTCTAGTTGAGGGAATAAGTATATCAATTCTTTCTTTAGGAGGAAGTTTCCATAGAAGTTACCGCTGCCTCATCAGGAATACTTAGGTATCAAGCCCTAAGCCAGAGCGAGCTCGCATAGCTGCCCTCTCCGTTGAGATTGATTTATAATGCTCTCTGCGAAATTAAAATCACTTTAATCCAATTTCATTGGTTTACAAACATGATGGAATTGAATGTTTGCACCAATTACACTTAGCTCCTGGCATACTTCCGACAGCCATGTGTTTATGATCACTGGAGAATCAAAGCAGATCTAGTCTTTTCCAGAAAAGTTTGCAACGGAGCAAATGCAAACTGTGTAACGTTGTTCAATCAGCTTCTGTCACCTCATTTGGCTTCTCTATTGGTACTCACAGCCGTTTCAGGGGAAAGAGTCTTTTCTGATTACCGGAGTAGGTAACCTCCTGCCACCAAGTTGGGGCGAGTTGCCTATGATTTGAAGCTTGCATATGTAACTTGCCTACCTGGCTTTGCTAGCTTTACTACCTAGGTACTTATGAATAACTGTACCTCAAATGTATTGAAGTAGATACGCATTTTGATGTCTAGGCAGTGAGATGAAATGAATACACCGTTTATCTCCAGGAAAAGATCTTAGAATGGATCAGAATTCTGAAGTTATTGAGTACTTCTGTAAGTCAGGTGAACACCATAATACATTTAAAAACCACTCTGATTCCGTTGCCTATGTTTCACAAGGATGAGCGTGAACCGGGCTACACAGAGCGTTCTCAGCCATGCTAGATTTTTCGAGTGTAACATGGCTAGGTTTGAGGAATGGTCAAACATGAACAGCTAGACCGGAGTACCGGTATGTCAATGTATACTTTTCCATGACATTCTATTTCCGAGTCCTTATGTCGGAGGATAATGAATCACTCCTCGTTATTCATCTATATTCAAATGAGTCAAGCAGATACACCGTCAATCTTGACACAAAATAATGATTATAGAGAGGAATACATATACAATCATTCAAGTAGAACTATGATACTGCAATTCATTTTATTCTCTTTTCTCCCTCGCACTTCTTTCTCATCAATCTCGAAGCACCCCAAAGCCAGAAAGCTAGAACTCCGAATACCATTTAACCCTTCCAATATCCAAGGAGGCCCAGCAATGCCCACACCAGAAGGACCCTCCGAAGAAGAGAATAACGCCTCTAGTCCTGAAACAGTCCTCAGTCCAGAGGAAGTCCAGGAGATTGAAGCCGAAAAACGCGAATTGTACATCTACATCTTCCACAAGCGCGAATCGTACTGGAAAGACTGGCTCAAATACACTCACCGATATTTTGCGCTTGAGGCACGTCTCCCTGAAGGTCCTGATAGAACAAGAAGGCAGGGAATCTGCGAGAGAAACATTGAGAAAATCATCAATGCATACAAAGAACGCACGAGGAAGAGAAAAGAGAAATTTGTTGAAAAGTGGCCGTATGGCTTGGACACCAACGAATGCTTACCGTTCTTAGACGGAATGGATTTGTTGGTCAAAGCCCAAACTCAGGAGGAGATCAAGGCTTTGAGTGAGAGACATAAAGAGTACTGTGCGAAGAATGACGAGATCAACCCTAGCACACCGGCTACCACACCAAATGAGGAGGGGGCGAGAATGAACGTCATGTCCGAGTCAGCGTGGGAAGGCAATACTTCTAGTTCGGAGAGTGAAGCTGAGGCATGATTCGGAGCTGAGTTGTGACGGACTGGAGTTGTCGAAACTAGCCTTCACCCTTTTTCAATTGTACATTGGATATCCAATTGATCTGGCTAGAATGTGACAATGCTATTAGATATAGAATGCAAAAGGTCCTCTCCATTACTTGAATATTAGATCCGATAATCTTGGAGCGCTTTCTCAGGGACTCGCTGGGGTAAAATCTAGGTTGAGTCTTTGAAGCTCCTGTATTCTGCGCGTGGCCCAATTTATCAGCGCATGTAGTGCTAAATTACGTACTATAACCTTAGACCGGCCTGTTTACTGCTCCTTTTTTTAATAGGAGATGATGTCTCTCGGGAGAGATGAAAACCAGATATTCAATGTTTGATATTATGATTTCTCTGAATGAATACCGAGAAGCATGAGATCGTTCTTTGGTGGCCGCATTATAGCGCTCCTGCAGCACCGAAGTCCGCTTAGAACTCATTGCGCTGGAGTGGTATGAAAAAGAAAAAAAGGGAGACCGAGGAGGTCCTTGGACGCATACTATATTGCTTCCACCAGCCGGGGCAAAAAGGGCTAAGTAGTTTTACACACACACCTCGAGCCCATGGGAAGAAATCATGCCTGTTCTTGGGAGAGAGTCAACTCCACGTCGATCAAGAGTCGGCGAAATTGGTAGAAAGTGAACTTTCGGAGTTCGGGCTGGCATAATCACCGGAATGCGCCGCTGTGGAAGAAGCCGTATGACTTTTGATAATAATAATTTATTCAAGACCGTTCCACATAGCGGATAGTGAGCATAGCTCGGCCACTGAGAAAGAATCCTCATTGAGCGTGCTTCCGGCGGCATCTTACGGTTCCGTACGTTGTTAATCGGTTCCGGTGGCGAATATCACGGTTCCGGGCGCCAACAAGCCTGCGGTGAACTAGCCAATGAGCCCGTCCAATCAAATAACAGACTCTACGGGGATTTATCAAAAGTTTCCATAATTCTTGAAGTACGTGGTCGACGTTGTGCCAAGCAGGGTATAGTCAACACGGTGATGCTGATCAAGTTTTAAGACACTGACAGTTCACCTGTCCCTCAGTTGAGATCAGTCAGTAAAAGCTTGCGCGTCAGAAGATCCACATGAGGTCCGTGACACTGTAGCGTTGAGCAGTTTTCTCTAAAGTAACACCAATCCTCGCATCACTCCCCAGTTGCGTACAATTGTACTGAATACATAGGTAGGCCACTTCCGGATCCGCCCAAAGCTCAATCATTGTGTCAGCAAAACGCTGCAGCTATTTGAAATTTCGTGGTCCCAGCACCTATAACTGCAACACCGGCAATTGACAGAATGACAGTAACAACAGATGCCAAGGTGCGTAATCCCCTGCTTCCGTTCGTGGCGCTTGCTTTTCGAGTGGCTTTAACTCACAATTTAGGAATATACAGGGTGGCAACCAGGCCTTTGTCCTTCATCCTGGAGGCTCATTTGCTTTTGAAGAATGCAGCATACCTACACTCCAATCAGGCCGAGATATTATTGTTCGAGTTGCCGCAACGGGTCTTTGCGGTTCAGATGTAAGTCCAATGCCCAATTGTCTGGGTCTTCTGTGACGATACTTATCAAACTGCATGGTATACAGATACACTACTGGCAGCACGGCGCGATAGGACGATATGTCGTTGAGAAACCCATAATCCTCGGACACGAGTCATCCGGAATTGTGGTCGAGTGCGGAGATGGTGTCAAAGGCTTCGCCGTGGGCGACCGCGTGGCTTTGGAGCCTGGCAGTACTTGCAACACCTGCAAACATTGTCGTTCCGGTCGTTATAATCTCTGCAAGGACGTTCGCTTCGCTGCAACACCCCCATATGACGGTACACTTGCCACCTATTATCGCGTGCCCCAGGAGTGCTGTTACAAGCTGCCATCACACGTTTCGCTGCGTGATGCTACGCTGATTGAGCCTCTAAGTGTCGCCGTACACAGTTCTTCACTAGCAGGTAAAATGCAGGAGAAGTCCGTGGCTGTATTTGGAGCGGGACCAGTCGGTCTGCTGTGTACTGCAGTTGCTCGCGCCTTTGGCGCTTCAAAAGTAGCAGTCGTGGACGTTGTCCCAAGCCGGCTGGCTTTTGCGCTCGAGCATGGTGCTACAAACGCATATCAAATGAGCTCTGAATCTCCAGAGAAGAATGCGGCAGACTTGTTGTCGACCGCTGGAGTTGAGAATGGATTTGATATCGTTCTCGACGCGACCGGGGCTGAGCCTTGCGTGAACTGTGGAATCCACGCCCTCACACAGGGGGGCACATTCGTTCAGGTCGGTTTAGGAAAGCCCAATCTTTCTATCCCAGTCGGCCAGATTTGTGATAAAGAGATTTCTTTCAAGGGGAGCTTCCGTTATGGGCCAGGAGACTTTGAATTGGCTATTGGGCTGCTCAACTCGCGACGGGTCAACTTGGATGGCCTCATTACTCACGAGTACTCGTTCCCAGAGGCGGAAGATGCCTTCAAGAACGTGGCTGGCCGGTCTGGAATCAAGAGCGTAATTTATGGCCCAGACTTCAATGCGGAAGTGGCCAAAAGTGTGTAACATAATGACAAAGACCTATAAATGAAAGATTCTTTCACTTCCGAGCTATAACAAACCCTATAAATGATTTTAAAAGGTTCCAAAATGACTTGCTAAGGTCCGAGTCGTGTGTCTATCGTGTAGGTCATGATGAGAGTCGCAACTTGCCTGAACGTCGAATTGTGTTTCGAGCTTGTGGACGAGTAAGATTATCCGTCAATTCCATTCCAAGTCGTATCCCATAACCAATATAACCCTCCCTCCATATTTCCGTCATAAAAGGTATCTTCCATAGAGCCATAGACTTCGTTCGATACATTCCAGTCTTGCGTAGGTGGTTGCCACATGCTACGGGAGTGTCTGTTTGGCTCAATGGACTGCTGACTTTGAGGACCTTCGCCGCTCGGAGCAATGCTGAATAACCGATCATCACCCGGACCCAAGGCTGTATAGAAAATCGCGTAACATTAGTAGTGGTAAATTTACTGAGAATCAAGGTGCCTCACCATGTTGAACGGACGCTAAACCCTCGTTTAAGCGATACAGCCTGTTAACATCCGAAGACATTTCGTTGATAGTAGGGAAATAACGCGAGTCCTGCATTGCATCAAACGGTAATCGGAGAGCGTCTTCTACAGAAATCGGAACTGAATCAGGTCCCGGGGGGTTATTCTGGTCGCCGATTGGTTCACTTGTTCGAGTGACAGGAGCAAGCATGGCCTCTGACTCGCGCCGAAGGAGCAGGGCGACGATATTTTTGAGGACGATCGTGCTTTGTTTTGACAGTGCAGACCGCTTGCCAATGAGGTCTTGAACACGGAGGATACGAGTAATCGTGCGTTTAACTTCTTGTGCCTTGTCTGAAAGGGGCTCTGAAAGTGCCAGGACAGCTAGCACTATTGCTGCATGAAATAAATTGATGGCGAGAAAGGCGACCAGATGACTTTCTGTAGCGAGCCGAATAAGGACCGGCAGTGCTGTTATCTTCGATGTCCTCACCGCAGCATCCATCCACAGCTCAGAGCTGGTGACCCGCGTCTCTGAAGATGTAGAATCAAAATATGAGCCAGAATGGCTCAGGGAATGCGCTTGGTGGTATGTTGGTGTATTTACTGGGACTTCCGTCGGAGAATGCTTACTGGTAGAGGATAATTGATTAACCTGACGTGCTAACAACGGTCGATGCAGGACAACGAGAATGTTGTCATAAGTCAGCTGCAGCGACAAAGATTGTAACGCGTACGCTTTCGAGCTTGCCTTGCTGTCGGGCTGAAAATCATTCTTGAGATCTAAACTAAGGTGGGTGGTTAGAGAATGTCGCCATTCCTGAAGTTTTTTTGTAGCGTGTTTGACCAAAGCAAGGTATGAGTCGCCAGCCAGTTGTTCCGAAGTCCTGAATGTGCGGGAACCGAAAATAGCCTCGAGTGCGGGGGAAGCGATTAAGTAAAGTTGATTCAGCTCCCGCTGATAGGATGAATAGCATATTGCTTCTTCCTGGGAGGAGCCATGGCCGACAAACCTTGGGTTCTCAAGGAGATCCGGCGGCATCTGGAGATTGCAGTCCTTGTCGTTGATGCCTAACGGCCGGCCATAGGTGATCGAGGCAAACCGATCCCATGTGTAGATGGTCCACCAAACTCTTTTCCTCTCCTCGATATCTTCGGGTTGTCCGCGCAGATATTGCCGCTGCAATCCTAGGGACTGGGCCATCTTGATTGTTGCTCCCAATAATGAAAATGAGAGATTTGGACGACCATGATAAACGTGATGTGACCCTAGAAGGATGCAAGTTTGGGTCGCCGTGACTGAAGGTTGATCCATAAATTCCACCAGGTTTGACTCGACCAGCTGGATCAAGTCTGTACTCCATGGGCCCCAATCCTCGCTGCTATGGGTCAGTTCAGTGCCGCTACTCCTCGATCGATACCAGGCTGCCATTCCGAGCATGACGGCTAGAAGCAAAAGGAAAGGTCTTTGCGATGGATATGCACGTCCATCTGCAATGGAATTGAGCCTTCTGCGGAACTTTGGCTCGTATATGGCGAGGGAGAACCAATGTACAGAATCAAAATACTCTTCTAACAGACTATACACAAGATCCATGGGCGGCAGGTGTTGGCCCACAATAGAAGATATAGATACTCGCTGATTGGTGATCGTTGAACCCAAATTAGTTTCACAAGGGCCGGTGGTCTGGTAGCCAGGAATGGCGGAGGTGGATTGGTCACTGATGTGGTTGCTGCCAAGTCCACAAAGTCTTCGAGCAATTTCAATCGCAGATTCGGCTTCACCGCAGTCTAGAGATTGCGGCATATCATGCGTCCCCGAAGACTCTTCAGATACGCCATTCCTTTGAAGCGTCTTTGGTGATCGAGCCTGATGTTGACTCGTTGCTTCTCTTCCAAGGCCATGAGCTGCGTCTCGTGACTGTTCGTCAAGCGTCTCCGACGGAATGCTTGTTTGGCGTCGGCGACCTCTGGAGCCTTGTTTAGGGTTTATACGTCTGCAAACCGAATGTCAGCCAGGCAACGACTTGGTTTCTTTGCAATTTACAGCTTACTTCCGTGCAGTTGGTCGGCTTGTCGATAGTGGTCGACAAGGGACGTCGGCTCGGACGCATAGAGAGCAGGGCCGGAAAGGATCACACTATAGGCAGTCGCATTTCTTAGTATATCTAAGAGTAATAGTGCTAGTTTGCGTTCATAGGAAATAGGATCGCTCTACCCGGGATTTATGTTGCCGGCATCTGTCGCAGGCGCTTCGGACCCTTGTAGGTAACGGCGACCGCACATGACTTGATCGTCTTAATACTGAAGACAGATAGAGATTTTCGGCTTCTGACTCGCCAGTACTGTGGTCAGTCATCGTACCAATATGGAATATACTGGTAGGTTGTTTTGTTGTTGGCGCAACGTCAAGGTTGAGGGGATTCGGAGTCGGATTTTCTCGACCCCGTCCCAGCCAATCATTATGTATCGATATGTATGTGGGTCCCGGGAACGGCGGGGGCGGGGGTGGAGTACACAAAACTTTTGTATATGTTTTTTTAGAAACAGGAACTGAAAAGATGGTCCCTTGTCGATCCACTGTTATGCATGGGAAATGACCAAATATATGTTCACCGACAATAACCAAATAGATCCCGGTCTGTTTATTGGAATATAGCGTAACTATGGCGGTGCTCACCCAGTCTACTGCTGCTTTAATCCTTATTGCTTCCAGGCTAGTGGTGAAGTGTTCCACACCCCCCCCCCCGGAATATGGGCTTCACACCCAGGTCCAGATATATCGCAACACTAGAAGAATTTAAGAGGTTTTATTTACTTGTTCCCAGATATTTAGTGTTTTTATTCGAAGATTTCTGCAACCAAGATTGGTTTATATTATAATAAGGGTATTGAAGCGAGACGATATAGAGCTAGAGATAAAGCAATTGATAATATTTTACATCTCTATTAGTATCTGCTGTAAATGCACCGGGTATAGAGTCACAGTTACACTCATCGAGAGCAGTGGTAATGTTGCCATCGAGTCAAGGTAGTCATCTGAAAAGACAATTCTTTTTTGCGGGAAATTGCATTTTTCCTATTACCATCGTTTCATTCACCGCGTGTTGAACATTTCGGACGCTGTTTTCAACAGTGCATGTCATTTTCCATGGAAACTATGTAACGGGTTCCACAAACGCGAGATTGTTCGTGATGGCTAGAACTACCAATTGACGACTACACGGCAACTCTCTTACTCACAAAGACGTAGATAGTGGTGTATCATTGGAATCATGATTGCATATTGAACAATTTTTGATCTCGTGAAAACTGAAGCTCCAGCAGGATCTTTTGGAGCAGTCTACCATCGGCTTGCACACAAAGTTTCCAAGCCGTTCCAGGTAGAAACTATAGCCCCGGACAGCTTTAACATGCTTGGGCCAACTGGGGGGATAACGGACACTGCGCGAGACAAATACTGAGCATCCAGCGGTACGTCACTCTCACTCAAAACCTCTCTGAGCCTGGTGGATTTGAGGGTTTTGGCCCCCTTTGGCCATAGTATATCACGAAAAGAAGTTTCCTGGTAGTAGAAACGATAGACGAGATCCAGAAAGGCGTTTATCCATTACGAAGCTTTGCATACTACCCAGCATGAGCGCACTGACTCAAGGGCCAATGCTTCCTTTAAAAATGTCTCAGCCGCTGAAAGCTTCGCATCATCAGATACACCCCTTCGAGCGTGGCAAGTATGCCACCTCCAGCTGACAGCCACACGGCTCGTTGGACACGGAGAGATGAGCGAGAAATCTTCGTGGATTGATCTATGAAAAGTCATGTATGAGATACCAGTAAAGACCTCTTTCTAGTCGGGGAGTTTACCTTTTCGTCGACCAAATGGCTGGCCTAGCACATTCTTAGAGACGGACGATGAATACATATTGAGCAATAAAGTAGTTCAACTTTCGTTAGATGAGACGACCGACTAACCGACAGTGCGAACTTGAATGAGATTGAAGGTTTCGAAGGTTTCGTGGTATCGAAGTCGAGGAGACTAGTATGCTTTGGTGATGTAATGTGGCAAAAAGCTATCCCAGCTCTATCTGTAATCCACGCAACCAATCAATCAAATCATCAAATATCCCCTAAATAACTACTACTTGGTCTTCTCCAACACTGCTAACAACACGACCAAATACCTATCTGACTGTACCTTTATATGGACTACCATTATCTGCTTGCTTCAAGTGGATTGTATTGAATATGAGTCCGGACTATCGTAGAGCGCACAATAATGAAGAGAGGGCTGACTAGCTTTACTATAGGCTCTAGCCAAAAAAAAAAAAAAAAAAAAAAAAACATAAGGTCTACATACAACAGCGTAAATATTGTCGTGGTCACCCAGTCCGTCGCTGTTCTGATTCTTGCTGCTTCCAGGCTGGTAGTGAAGCATTCAATGCCCTCTAGAAACACCCTGAAATATGGCTTCTATCCTGTTTCCAGTAAGAATGTAAACCTGGAAAGATTAAATGAGGACTTTTCAATTGAGTCTAGATATCATTTATGTATTACCCTCAGTCTTCGGGCACTGAAAAGCCATATTTGATGATTTCTGTAAGGCCCTCGATCTTTATTGGTACTTCTGTTACTCAAACAGCAAGCAATTCTTAAGAGTAATATATGCTTTCTACAGCCTGTCTGTTGCTTTAAGTATTTTATATTTAAGGAGACTACGCGAGTAATTTTATCCCTATGGATTCTTGGGTTAATACATCAGATATTCTATGCCTCAATAATTAAAGCTCTGTGATATATTAGATAAGTATAAAGCTATATTTGCTAAGAGGAACATCAACTACATTCCCTTATTCCAATTAAAGTGGACTGGGTGCTTAACAATACTAAGCTTAATATCTGAGATATAGGAATCTTGATTGCCCATGATAGATAGTGTTTATAGATGTGGTTGGTATCAAAATCGCTTGTATCAATGGCGATGGACTGCTTTTGTGCTTACAATAAATCTAAATTGACGGTCCTCTAGTATTCTACATTAGAGTAAAGTGCTTCTGGCATAAGATTTATTTAAGGAGTATCATCAATAATTTCGTGGTATATATTATCTGCTGTATTATTCCTATCTAGAAAGAGAATCTCTGGCACAGATTGCCACACATTATATAATGTAAAAGTCGTGCGCATCAATTTAAGAATCAAGATAAGGAATCTCCATATATTACAATGAGGTCTAATACCTTTATTAAAGTGATACCGTTATTGAACGACGCTAGAACCTTTAATTGGTTGCTTGATTGTAGGCAACTCCTCAGGGGCAATATCTAGGTGATTTCCAATGAACCACCACATATCAACGTGGGCTATGTTGGCTAAATACCGATGAAGACTAAAGCAGGTTGAGTTAGTATTATTAGTATGATCTGGTAGGTTCTTTACTGCATCGAGCAGCGAAAACTAGAAGCCATCCATGTGTTGGGGTATTTGACGCCTTACAAGGTTATATATGCTCTGCGCATAATGTGCACTGGTAGAGCCAGCAAGTAAGTAATATACAAACAATTTTGCAAAACTGTACATTACTTGAGATAAGAATAATTTAAAATAATGCTTAAGGTAGCAATAGAAGAAAACGGAGTCGATTCTAACTTGTACAAAGAGCTGGTATTGGTGGTAGGTATAAGTTGATACTCGATTTGTATACACTTTTATTCCCTTATTATTTGAGGGTCAAAATATATTAAAAGAACTAAAATGATTTACAAAGTATAGAGACTGATTAAAGAGGCGTAAAGTGGAAGAGAGAAGGTTTAGCCAAATGCTACATTAGCAATTCTAGTCAGGCAAGAAGTTCCTGGCAGCCTGGAAAGAATAGAAAGAAAGATAAAAAACTAAAGGAATAAAAACATATAATTGATGAGATCCGCTGGTGCTCACCCAGCCTGGCTTGCTAATACCGAGGGGCGCCAAAGGCAAAAATTCCTGATATAAGGGAGGGCTAGTCCCCTATAGGCAAAAGCTTTCCAGTAACGGGGCAAAAAAAAGGGAAAAACATACAACAGACGGGATTCGCTGGTGGTCACCCACCCAACTACTAACCGGCCGGCGTGTGGCTTAAGTACGGCTGAGCGGACGGGAAGCCCTGTTTTCCACACCCTATGGTCGTATGTGCTGGATAAAGGAAGACAAGGGTATATATGGGTAATAGTAGAGCCGCTCGATTGCAGGGCATATTCATATCCAAAACAGGCGAAAATTGCATCGTTGTATATCTATAGTTTTCCTATGACTATAGCGCTGTCAGAAGACAGCTCAGGATTACTTCCAAATGTGGTGAAATTCATGGTTAAAGACTATGTACAGTACTGAAGAATAGAAATGAGTATGATGAACATCTCTCAAGCGTTCATCCATGGACACTTTTTAACACGAACTAATCTAGCTATCGTTGTTGTAGGCAGAACCAATCTCGCTCAAGGCAGTGCCGGCAGAGTCAACAAGGTAGTCCTCAGCAACAAAGAAGTAAGAGTAACGCTCAACAAAGTCCTGCTCATCCAACCAAGGGAGAACCTCGCTAATGAATGACACCTGCTCGGCATCTGTGGCAGGAGTGAGCTCGAACTCGGTAATCCAGACTTTGTAAATGCCGTGTTTCTCAGCAACGGCATAGGCCTCGTTGACGTAGTCTTCAAAGGCAGTGTCGGTGACATAGGCGTAGTAGTGGATGGCAATGGCGGTTTGACCGCACTCACCATTGCACTCCTCCAAATATTCCTCCAGCCAGGTGAGACCCATAGGGGCAGCGCCGTTGGTGACAGCGGGAGCAACCAGCTGGGCTTGGTCTTTGTAAGGAGTGATGTACTGCTTGTAGGCAGCAGCAGCCTCGGCAGGGGTCAGGTTAGACTGGGTAGAGAGGTCGGGCTCGTTGAAGCCGAGAATGGCCGTAGCACCGTTGTCGAGGGCAGTTTCGATGGCAGACGTCCAGACATCTTCATCACCAGTTCCCCACATCATGGGCACGAACTCGACGCCGTCGGGGAGAGTGCCTCCCACTTCGTAGTCCCAGTTGTAGGCCCAGGAAGCGTCAGTAACCAGGCTGACGAGGCTGGCGTCGTTGTAAGCAGCACCCTTCTTAGAGTTGGTGGCACGCTTGGCCTGGGGGGCAGGAGCAGGGGCAGCAAAAGCTGCAGTCGCCATCGCAGAGGCGACGAGAAGGCTGGAGATAACAACCATTTTGATCTGAAGAAAAAAAGGAGTGAAGTGAGAAAAGGAAGGACTGAACCAAAGTCAATTTGGTCTGTGAATAGAAAGGAAGGAATGCCGAAACTCTCCAGAGAAGCTGCTTAAACAGAAATGAGAGAAGGAGCCCTTGAGGACGAGGTGTTGGGAGGGTTTTATAACAAGGGGACAATGCTAGAACAGGCAATGCTTCTGGACATTAGTGAAATACCACCCCGATTGATAATACACGGACACGCTAGAATGGACCCATAGCTGAAATTGAGTTGCCATGTGCTCTTGGTCACTGCATAATCATAATCATAAAAGTGCTGGTTATAGTAATGTAGCCAGTTAGGGTTTGGGCGGAGAACGCTTCGTTAGACTCAGGTTACATGCGCCACGCCAAAAAATGGATCCAGTCGATTGACTATGCGCATCTCCATGACTGTCCGTTCTAGACTGGACTAGATATCGATGTATACTTGTGTGTATAGTATTGTAAACCGGCCCTATCTTCGTATCTGCATATGCTACAAGGGCTATGCATACGTACTCATAGCTATACGAGATAACCACGTGCCTATACTCTATAATGGTGAGCCAACAAAGAACGAAGATTGCCCTATATCGTTTCAAGACACGAGATATGGGTCTTTATACAGGGCGCATGCGGTCAGGCATCCAAGGAGCAAACAGAACAGAACAGCCTCCGCAGAAAGGAATATAGACAAAAGAACAAAATGGGGTTGTCGTATACAAAGACCTCAACACACGGGGCGCAATGCTTGATGGAAAAAAGAAGAAAAAAAAAAAAGTTCAGCGCTAACCGGAGCTGGCTGACATGCACCTTGTAACGTTGGAATCAAGGAACAATAGTATACTGATGGAGACGTACTAAGTTAGCCCACTAGCTTAATTACAAGAATGCTCTGTACCTATGCATTGATCACTGACTATATGGTTAGTACCTAGATACAGCCCCGATAGATAATCCAAGAATGCCAGATTAAAGCCAACCGTTTCAATAGTCGAGTACTTATAGTATCTGGTCTAACAAGAAGAGCCTGTCTAACTGGTTACACCACGTATCTCGTTATGCTTGAATTTACGCTGCCAGGTACGCAGTTATGCTAATTGGCCAGGCGCTGGGGCATGCACTGCCATGCACTGCATGCAGGCCGGCTACCCTGTCTGTAGTACAATAAGTTATAAGAGCTGGACTTAAGTTGGTTCGTTTATCCTTTAAGGTCTAGAAAATTGACCCACGTAGCATCCAATTCGCGGATTCTCCAAAACCCATCACAAACGGATATACCGGGCTATATCACAGTAGTAAGCACGTAAATAGTCAACTCTATAGCCATTTCTCGGCAAGTATTATCAAGGACAAACTAACGCATTTTCACAATCAAGATTGAAGTCGTTTCAACTAGAAAATCTGGCTGTCGTACGCGGTAACTTTTGTCCATAGTTATAGTTACTAGTTCCGTCGCAGGCGGGATTAGGGTTACAATCGAATTTGGCCCCTCGTTCTAGTCCTTTTTTTCCATTTCAGATTTTTCATACACTCGGAGAATTTTTTACCTTTCGCCTTGAATGATTCCATTGGAGGAGTGAATTTCATATGATTGTTCGGCTTGTTTGCTCATGGGGCTGGCTGTATGGGTATACTCGAAGGACATCATGTACGTGCTACGTAGTTCTAAGCAACATCCATACTAAAACGAAGGCTGAATCGATCAGCACTAGGAAATGGCCTAGTCCAGGCCCCAAGATCCACCTTTACTTACATGCCAGTCGTCCAAACGAGTCGTTCTAGAGTTCTTTCTTTGTAGTACATACTACCTAGCTACGTAACTGGGAACCGAAAAAAAAAAGTCAGATCCAGCCTATAATCTTACTCTAATTAAGTAATATTCTAATCATCCTGGTGAATGCATAGTTTACCCATCAAAGTAGAACTAGATGCACATTCGACGATCACTTTGAATTAATCACTGGCAATTTTGCTTTAGAATGAGACAGGTCCCTATATCAGAAATTTTGAATATTATAGTATCAGCCAAGTTTCCCAATACATAAAACAATCCTCAATTTTCTTCCTTCTAAGTAGCAATGCAATGAAGCACTAAGAACGCGTAATGTGGCGTGTTATGGCGTGTTGCATTTCGCATTGCCCAATATAACGACAACACGAAAATGAAATCCTTCAATGGCCAAGAAAAGTCCTGACCAGACAACTCAAGGAAAAGTATAAATGATTGACCTGCTTATTATAGCGCAATTAATATACTCTAATTCTCCCCTTTAACTTTTCACACTGTCAGACTGTCAGATCGGGTGCATTAGTGTTGGCGTTTATGCCCAATCCCGGCGCACTCCGACTTTATTATATCCTGCTAGATTTATATATTTCAATATGGTTTGTAGGTTATTTACTTGGGAGAACCTAGAAATTAGTTTATTTTAGCAGAAAAAACAATCATATAAGCCTCTTGTTTTAAGATCATTACTATTGTAATCGAGTCGATCTTGGGATCATGCAGCAAAGCAACTGCTTGGAAGTCTCTTTGAGTTTAAGCATATGATAAACAACTATACGGAATTGAATATCAGAGGACATTATATATTTATTGACGGATTTTTCAATCTCGAAAAAAAGGTATCTGATCTATATGGCATATCCACCAGCAGTTGAGTCGGGATCGCCGGGAAATACATGCTGACAACCCACGTAGTTAACGAGCTAATGCATGAACATCGTTGGTCATGGCTCCGGCTCATGAGTGATATATACGTGTGTTTTTATTATAGTATAATATATACATATATCGAGCGCCCCAAAAAGTAGGCGAAAGGATTCGTAAAAACTTGCATCGAGCCCCTCTATGTCTACTACGTAGGCAAGCGCTGTCTTCGTTCATCTGCTATGATGGCAGGCAGAGTAGTTCGAGAGTCTCTGCACGAACAGATCTTGCAGCGATTCCGAATGATATTGCGCACGTCAATCGGTTCGGTGGTTGTGAATCGTGGGTGGAGTCGATACTCCGTCGAGCCCTAGTATGAAGTCCTAAAATCTTATAACGAATGGACTGAAAGGTCCTTTCAGGAGCAGATTCGTAAAGTTTGCTGAAAGCCCAAATTCACGTATCGAGTTGAAAAAATTTTTTCAAGTCGGTCAACTCGGATTGATGTAACCTCAAGTTGTAAGATGAAAGTGAGCTAGCTATATGGGCCATAGCAGCAATGGGCAGATGCTAACCGTCTGCACGTCGGACATCCGCCATCGGGCTTTCAATCCACTGTCTCGACTTGTCGTCCAAAAATCCCCAAACCCGCGAGATGATCGCACGTGCACTGGGAACGGACCACCATGACTGGCGGTCTCCGCACAAGAGTGCCGCATAATGGGTGAGGATTATTAGTGCAATAGGATGATGCTGCTCGAGTAGCTCGATATAATGCTCCGGTACGCGGAGAACCCACGTGAAGGTTTCGGCCCGTATGCGGTCATGAATACGGGCATTAATTGCCATAGGTAGAGGATGGTCTGTTGTTGCCGACTCTGCATCGAGTTGTAGACTGCGTACAGCCTCGTGCACGCGCGAACGGGTAAGGATTAAAGCCTTGTATGCCTCTTCGTACGCTTGTCGATCTGTCTTGGATATTATGCGCGTTTCGTATCGTGGAAATGGAAACATCCCTGAGCCCGCACCCGGCGAGGGCACAGATAAATCTTCGCTTCGCCATAACATATGCAAATTCTGCAAATCATATGGCAATGCTTCTTCCTCGCCTTGTTCAGGGTGTAGAGGGATATTGTCCTTCATCAAGACGGACAAAGGTCCACGGACTATTTCCTCAAAATGATCCTGGCTGACAACTAGAATTCCACGAGCTAGGCGTATCCATTTGAAGTCCAGGTTGATATCCCCCGCGCCAGTTTGTGGGTTTTCATCGCGCAAAGTCGCAATGGCTAGCATGAATATCACCACAGACAACACAAACAGAGCATCATGTTGTCCCGGCGTCGGGTTCGCAAGCGCATGCTGATATAAGCTTAGCGAGATGGCCTGGTGTCTGGTTGCATACTCGACGAGCTGGCGGCTATTATTGATATCTTCAGGTCTGGCGGTATAGGCTCCCTGCAAGGCTGAAAGGGCTAGTACACCGTGGAGCAGGAAACGATGCTGCAGGGCCATTTGTACTACTGTCGTTGCCCAAAGATGCTGGACGTCCGGGCTGGACGTCAAACTGGGGCAGGTGTTAGCGGTGAAGTGGTGCAGCATTGAGAGATCGGCTAGACTGAATTCGGGTGTTTGTGAGTAACTAGTGAAAAGTCTTGCGCCTGCGTCGAATGGCACTGCAGGAGCTGCAATGCTAGCTGCCGCTGGGCATGAATTTGCAGATGTTGGCGTTGGGGGCCCTGAGCTTCTTGAGAACGTCGCTGGAAAGGCAGCAGTAGTAGCTAATGCTGTTGGAATGCTGGGCATCATACGCAGGAAGCTGCAGGTGCGATTTGTTTGCGCGCAATTGCCACAGCAAGGCTTGTTCTCGTCACACTAGATATCAGTCAATATCGAGCAAGTAGATAGACCAGAGAGAACAAAGACATACCTTGACATGGCGCTTTTTGCATTGCATGCACCCGTTTCTCGACTTTCGATGGAAGCGCCGTGTCTCTTTGGCAGGTTGCTTAGTTTCCATCGTTATGATTATGATCTGTATTGTGTCCGTCCTGGTCTACGATACTACCGCTGACGGTAGCTGGCAGCTGAGAAAAAGTCGCAAGCTCGAGGATGTTGACCTCTCAGGGAGGCATCATCGAAATTTGCAGATGGAACGAGCAAATTGAACATGGAGTCTGATGGATCGAAGATTCATGATCAATGCGTTGCTGAGTCTTGACTTGCACAGTCGGATTAGTATTTTATGATCCCGATGCGGTCACGTGGCTTATGGGGGCATTTTTTAGATCAATCGTTTTTATGTAGTCTTCATGCATCAACTTTTTCATTCATCATAAACTCATGTGGATCATCACTCTCCTATGACACAAATTTGAATCTGGAATAAATACAGGATCAAGTGACAAAGAGCAAGGAAAATTCGTCAATCAACACAAATCTCCTCCCTCCGCCTTTTAATCAAAAGCTGTGCCTGCGCATCCGACGACATCATCCACCCAAGAAGAGAAACCTTGGGCTTTGGCGCGCCTTCGACTAATGCGAAATCGTACTTGAGCAAGATATGCGCAAGAACAATCTTCATTTCATTAGCAGCAAAAAATCTCCCGGGACAGGCATGCCTGCCATGCCCGAAAGCGAGATGCTGGGGGCTCGTGGAGACGAACTGGGACATCTTCTCCGTCTCAGGGTTTTGAGCCAAGTTGAAAAACCGGTAGCCGTCATATTGGTCCGGGTCGGAGAAGACGGATTTGTCCCAGCTCCAGTGTGCTGAGACCCCGAGCAGGCTGCCCTTGGGGATGACGAGGCCGTCTTTGAGCGAGACGTCGTCGGTGGCGAAGCGCCTCATGGATACTATATTGATTTGTTAGTTATCTAACTTGCTGTCTGGAAGCTCGATAAAAAAAAAGAAGGGGGGACATGACATACCCATTGAAGCGGGCTTCAAGCGTTGGCTTTCTTTCAGCACGCTGTCCATGAGTTTCAGCTTGTAAAGCGCGGTCCTCTTCCACCCTCCTTCCTGCAGCACAGCAATGATCTCTTCACGCAGCGGCTGGATGAGCTCGGGGTGTTGACAAAGATCGTAAAGAACCTGCGTCAACAAATCGGTTGTGGTATGAATAGCCGCCATCGAAAGACCGAGTTGAGCCACAGCAGCATCGTACGGTTTACCCATGGACAACTCTTCCATCCACTGCACTGCGTCAGAGTGTTTACGCGGCGACGACCAGTCGTCCATAAATTTTGCGTTATTCTTGTTATGACTCTTGGTTGCTGCGAGCTCCCTGGCTCGCTGGTCAATTACCGGCTGAATGATACGCTGTGCCTCGGCGCTCTGGGCCCGAAGCTTGCGCGTCTCAGGCAGAAACCAATGAACGATACGATGCGTGCACTTGGGGTAGCGTTTCACAGCTGACATGGCCATGAATACGTTGACCGTGTAGTCGATAGTAATGCGCAACCAGTCTGGGTTTCGGCACAGCTCAGGTCCCAGAAACACCCGCGATGACACACGAGCGACGACTTCAAGGAGAGTGGTTTTGAGCGGTATTGCGTGCCATCCTGTATAATCGTTAGCTGCATTCAAATGCTTCGGGGTATGCCTTTTGTCAGGTATTTCTCCTAACCAGTTTCTTCCGTCCACTGCTCATGCAGGACCTCTTTCATCTCGTCTGAAATATCTTGCGTGACCAACCCTATTGGAGCAGAAAAAGAAAAAAAAAAATACCAAAATCAGTCGATACAATTCAACAATCTTGCTGCTTATGCTCGACTGCTCACCCAAGGCTTGTGTTAGCTTGGTCCGCACCACGTCGGCGACCAAAGTAGACGTCTTTCCATCGTACTTGAATATCTCGAATCCAGGAAGTTGACCCAGAAACTCCTATTATCCAACAATCAGCAACAAATATTCTCTTCCAACCTAAGCAGCGGCGAGCTTCTACCGACCTTGTCATTGTTTCGCAAAAAGCTCAGATGATGATCGCCACGAATTTCATTTGCATACTCGGGAGATAGTATCATGACACGCTGCAAATCGGTATCTACCATGTAACCCTTTGGAGACTGATCCCTCCCTCACCCCGGTTAACTTCTGAAATGTCCAACCGCCCCTCTCTCTGAAACAAACAAGGCAACGAACGTACTTTACTAAATCCGTCGAAGAGTAATTGTCTGGCATTCCAGCGCCAGTTATCCTTCGCCTTGGACCTATTGAACCAGCCGACCCTGTTGAAGATGGGCAATTTCCGTAGTTTGTATGTCCGCACCGCCCATTGTGCCAGCAGTGCGAGCAGTATGATCGCTGCTACACTGGGGGCGAGGACGACTTTTGAAGTCAACAAGAACTCGAGGCTAAGCATGTTGACAACCGGATTCAGTCCCGGATCCAGCATCATGTTGTTATGAAGGAGAAAGAGGGAAGAAGAGGAAGATGATGATGGCACCTGCTCCTCCTTTTAACAGGAGCGAGCCAACCCAGAACCGGTACCGCTCTCGGCGCTGTCCTTTTATTTACGTATCAAACAGAAAGACACTATTGATACCACCACATCAGTCGTCAGTGTCTCTCTTATCTCTCTCTCTCTCTCTCTCTCTCTCTCTCTCTGTGTGTGTGTGTGTGTGTGTGTGTGTGTGTGTCCGGGATCTTGGATCTTGCAAGACGGCAGCACAGTCCCCCAAAGCATCATGATTGGCCCAAAGCGGGAAAATCAGTACGTGCATGCATATAGCTTGCATACAGCTCCAATCTCATTGAAGCTTGGGGCATCTCGCTTAGACCGGAATGTCGCTTAGAAGGGAGATCACTCGGAAAAAGAGACACCTCTATTTTTTATTATTTCACTTCAATTTGCCTGCCAAAAAAAAAAAAAAAAACCAAAAAGAAGGAGAGGGAGTTCTTTGAACTCGGCTTCGGCTACGAAGTAGTTACCTCGAATGAGAACTGTAGAAAATTGAAAAAAAAAAACAAAGAAGCAAAAGAAGAACAAAGAAAGAAGGAAAAAGAAAAGAAAAGGAAAGAAATTCAATGCAATGCAAAGAAAATGACGGCATTTTCCATATGATATCCGCTAGATATACTCCCCGGGGGCCATACACATCTGTTGCTCACCCGGAACCAGCCTTACCGGCATTTGGAATGCTGAGATTCCTTTCGGGCGTCATGACAAATTCCAGGAATGTTCCTCTTTCTGGGATTCGAGTGTTCCATAGATCACAGATTCTTTGACTGCCAACTGTAAGAAAACGTTACACGATGCATGCACGTATAGACGTGCTTCTCATTGGATCTATTCAGCGAGCAGCCGAGTGCATCTGAGAGGTATTTCAGGTATTCCTTGGCTCTCACCAGAGCGTCTGCACCTGCAAGGCTTGAATGAGGCTGGGTCATTCCTGTTAGGGTATTCCCGATTCTATGTTTCTCTCGTCAAAGCCCGGGACTTCTGCAACGCAACAAGAGATTTATGTCCATGGAAATACGATATGTACCAGAGTTATATGGAAGTAACGGAGATAGCAGATATGTACAAACATAGTGGGCCCTGGTGCAGCGGCTGAGTGCTGAACACGACTAAAAATATAGTCCAAGCTGAGTGAAAAGCGAAGCCAACCAACACCAGGGCGGATTCAGAGCTGTGAGTAGCTGTTGGAGCGAGGCGGCGTGCGAAGTGATGTTGGCAGAAGATAACGATAGTTACATGTAGTTAGTTGACTAGTTACCTAGGTAGGCAGTTACATCATCCTATATAACTCGCCTCAGCCGCCGAACTCAATCGCATCCTGTCAACCACGCAGCAGAAAAAAAAAATGGCATCTCTGGTCCAAGAAGTCGACTCTCTCGACATCCAAGTCATCATCGACAATGAGCTCGACCCCATCTCGCCCGCAGCCCCGGACACCGTGCAGATGACCGGCGGATCAATGGGCCATGTTGCCATGTCTGCACCCCGTCTGCAGCCCGGCTCTCGCGGCGACGCAGTCAAGGAGCTGCGCATGGATCATCTGTGCTGTTCGGCACATGGATTGTCTATTATGGTAGTACGTCTCCCACCTCTCTTTTTTTTTTTTCTTCTTTCTCTTTCTGTGCTTCAAATTTGTAAAGGGGAAAAAAGTGGCTTACTTCCATCGGCGGGGAACAGACGGCAACTCGCGGGGATGTCAAGCGTACAGTCCTCTTTGACACCGGCCCTGAAGAGGATGTCTGGGAAAGAAATGCAAATCGACTCAAAGCAGACGTGGCGCAGGTTGATTTGATTATGCTGTCTCACTGGCATCGGGATCATTCCGGTATCTATCGATCTCTAGTTGTCCCTCGTCTTACTACCACTACTACTACTACTACTACTACTAACAAAACGGTACAGGAGGCATGTTAAAAGCCATCAAGACGATCAATCAAGCAAAGCAGGACAAAGCTGGGAAGGGAGGCAACGTGACTGTAGACTTGCACCCGTCTCGTCCAGACTATCGCGGCTTCTTGATGGGTGACAAGATTATTTCTCTGGAAGCCGACCCGTGTTTCGAGGAAATCACCGACCTTGGAGCAACACTGAGCCTAAACGACGAGGCTCATACCGTTCTCGAGGACATGTTTCTCATCTCCGGCGAGATCCCGCGAGAGACCTCATATGAGCACGGCGTGAAATTCGGCATGCGATATGACAAGGCCGACGGAGACTGGTTTTCTGACGAGAAGATTGCCGATGAGCGGTTTTTGGCGTGCAACTTGAAAGGTATCTACATTTCAGTATCTCTCTCTACAGCAGGAAGCCCAAAACTGACGAGACACCCAACAGGAAAAGGCATAGTCCTCTTCACGGGCTGCAGCCACGCAGGCGTTGTCAACACCTCCAGACATGCTCTCAAGCTCCTAAACAACGGCGGCGAGACGAAAGTGCCCCTTCACGCCGTTGTCGGCGGATACCATCTAGCCACGCCGCACGACTCCAAGCAGATAGAGCCCACAGTCAAGGATCTCAAGACCCTCGACCCAGCCGTGTTGATGCCGGGACATTGTACTGGGTGGCGCGCGAAGTTCGCGATTGAGCAGCATATGCCCGGCCGCCTTGTGCCGTGCACTGTTGGGACGAAGTGTGTTTTCTAGGCATTTTTCTTTTCCGCCGTGTATTCATGTATGTAGTTATTCACCAAGCTCAAGTAACCAATTAGTTAACTTGAGTTGTAGTTAGAGGAGTAAACAGGCCGGAGTTAAGCGGGCGGCTCTCCGGCAGGCCAAACCGCCCGGCGCGGCGTGGGAGAGCAGTCAACATCTCCGACTTTAACTTTTACTTCTTCTTCTCCTTCTCGTACAACGCCTTGGCCGCCCTCCCCCAGCGGCACATGGCATCCGTTCTTCTTTTGTCACCTTTCTCCTTCGCTTAGAGTATAGGTATTTGAAAAGACAACCCGCCATGGCCGCTGCCCCGGCCCGCGCGCCCTCGCTGTGGCGCTTCGCTCGCTGCCCCCGCCAGCCAACCTTCACGCAGCTTCGCCAACGCAGATTCGTGCATCCTCACGAATTCAGACCCCTGGTGCCTCCCTCACCGAGCTCACTGGGCAAAGCAACGCCCGCAAAGACATACCCGCGCACGCGGAAATGGCTCCGGCGCCTTTTCTACGTCTCGCTCGCCACCGGCGCCATCTTCGTCGTTGACAGGCAGTTCTATGCCTCGTCGCTCACACGCACCACGCGCACCTTCGGGCTGGGCTTACTGGTTGCCGTGGACTACAAGATAAATTTTCGCCCCAATCCTCCCTTCGCCGCCTCCATTGCAGCCGTCCATCAGCGCAACGCAGAGCGTCTCTCGGACCTCTTACGTCACAATGGCGGATTGTACCTCAAGATCGGACAGGCTATTGCAATGCAGTCCGCCATACTCCCGCCTGAGTTCCAGAAGATGTTCTCCCGCATGTTTGACGACGCGCCTCAGAATAGCTGGAAGGATGTCGAGAAAGTCATCAAGGAAGATTTTGGGAAGTCCGTGGAAGATGTCTTTGGCGTTTCGTTTACGGGCGATCCCACCAAGGGTGTGATGGAGAGGAAAGCCAGGGCGAGCGCGAGTGTTGCGCAGGTGCATTGGGCTCGTTTGGCGGATGGCCGGGAAGTTGCTATCAAGATTCAGAAGAGAGAAATCGCGGCACAGGTCGAGTGGGATTTGTGGGCTTTCAAGTGAGTTGTGTTCTTGCAGGTGCGTATAGAGTCTATGCTAACCACAAAAAAAATCAGAATTGTCTCGTATATCTATAGCAAGTGGTTCGATATTCCATTCTACAATTTGGTCCCGTTTGTCAGCGAACGACTGTTCCTCGAGACCGACTTTGAGAACGAAGCGAAAAACGGCGAGCAGATGGCCGAGTTTGTGGCAAATGAGCCACGGTTACGAAACAGAGTCTATATCCCTAAAGTGTATCACGAACTCAGCTCAAAGCGAGTGATGACCGCGGAGTGGATTGAAGGCGTCCGTCTATGGGATAAGGAGGCCCTCACTCGTCCATGGAAAGGCGGTTGGCATGAGGGCAGCCCAGGGTCGCACGGTACACCATTGGACCCTCCAGATAAAAAACTTCCAAGCCGCGAAGAACTTGCTAGGAAAAGCGTTGCTTCACTGAAAATCAAACCCGAACGTACGCACTGGAAGGGCTGGAAGGAGAGGGGGGGCCTTGGCCTCTCTTTGAAGGACGTGATGACAACCATGGTAGACCTGTTTTCCGCTCAGATGTTCCTCTGGGGCTGGGTGCATTGCGACCCTCATCCTGGCAACATCTTTGTCAGGCGGAAGCCCAATGGCAAGCCGGAAATAGTTCTCATCGATCATGGCCTCTATATCCAGATGACTCCCAAGTTCAGACGCCAATACGCGACTTTCTGGAAAGCGCTCTTGACGTTAGACAATAAAACCTTGAAGGACGTCGTTGGCCAGTGGGGTGTCAATAATCCAGACATCTTTGCGTCCGCGACCTTAATGCGACCCTACCGGGGCGGCAATCTATCGACACAAAAGGGCCTTGAAAAGCTGTCTAAAGAAGAGCGACAAAACCGGAGCTACGAGATGCAACAAGCCGCGCGAAAGGCCATCCGGGAGATTCTCGGCGACGAGACTAAATGGCCCCGAGAGCTGATTTTCATTGGACGTAACCTGAGAATCGTACAGGGGAATAACCAGTTCCTGGGCTCGCCCGTCAACCGTCTCAAGATTACCGCGACGTGGGCATCGCGTGCTCTTGCGGAGTCGCCAGATATGCCTCTGTCAGAGAGGATTCGCAATTATGCAGGACATGTAGTGTTCCGCCTCGTCTTGTTTACGTCGGATGTGGTCTTTTATTTCACCAAGATTCGACAGATGCTAGGCCTGGGCGGCGGTATGGAGGATGATATTGAGAAGCAAATGAAGGTTATGGCGAAGGATATGGGTGTGGAATTAGATCAGGATCTTTTCCAGGGATGAAGATCATTTTCCTCCTCGGATTAAATGTATTCTATTCTATTCTATCTGTCGGTCATGTTATTAGAAGTTTGACCTGTGTATTATAGTCCCTACTCGGATGAAAAGCTATAGACATTGCATCTTTTTCACTAGATATTCTGTCTTTCACTTTAACAAGTACAAAGCGCCTTAGAAATACTAGCAACATCTTCAGCCTCCACAATTGCCCAGCACGCCTGACTCGCAGCGTGCACACCATCCCCTAAAACGGACGAGCACTGATCTATAAACTTCGCCTCCAGCGCCTCATCACCCATCGGAACCTCCAAGCTACCCACAGCATGCAAAACATGGCTCTGAAGAACCTCCCCATCATTCATCGTCAGGACAACACGAGCTTCATCCGCCGCAAGACTGCTATCAGCCGTGCCCCGAATTCGATCCCGAGTGGCAATCACCTCTGGATCCTGCACAACCGCATCCTCATACTGCGCCGGAGTTCCCTTTCCATACAAAAGCCCAATAGCGCCTCCATGATAGAAGCTGAATTTCCCCTCCAGCCCATCCCTCGGTTTCGCCTTTCCGGTCAACTCGAGCACTAGCGGGTGCACCGTAGCATGCACCGATTGGATATCACCAACCGCCAACCCCCGCGCCTCCAACTCGACATGCAGCCTAGAACATGCGTCGATCACCGGGTGAATCACAATACCGCAGGGAAACGGCTTGAAACTATTCCGCAGAATCTCCCACCGGCCAGTTGCAGCTCCAACGGGGAGCCCGACTCCGTGAGTCTCCTGAGCAATACCCAACCACTTGTCCATATTGGCCTGGACATCGGGCTTTGTCGCGCCGATCACATTGGCCCATCCGCGCTTGGCCTCGAGGGCCTGCAGGCTGCTCGTATACCCACCTTGCGCCATGATGGCAGCCATTAGCCCGTTTTGCGCGGCTCGGCCGGGGTGGAATGATTTGGTGTGTGCGCCGAACATCTCGCGTAGGCCGGTCACCTGTGTCGCGGCAATTCCGATGGCGTGGGATGTCTGCTGGATAGATAGGCCGAGCAGCTTGGAGACTGCGACTGCGGCACCGATGGACCCGGTGGTGGACGTGATGTGCCTATTCGTCTTAGCTAGAACTCCTTGCTCCGAAGGTAAAGAAGAAGAAGAAGAAGAAGAAGAAGAAGAAGAAGAAGAAGAAGAAGCTAACTTACCATCCAACATCATAATGCTCCGGCCACACCGACAAGCCGAGTTTGCACTCCGCCTCGATGCCCACGATCAGAGCCAGAAGGAATTCCTTGCCGGAAAACCCGCCTTTCCACTGCGCGACTGCAAGAAGGGCGCTGGCTACGGGGCCGGCCGGGTGGATGATGGTGTCGAGGTGCGTGTCGTCGTAGTCATGGACATGCGACGCAATGCCATTCAGGAGCGCGGCATGTTGAGCGTCCACAGAATATGATGTGCCCAGGAGGGATGCAGTAGGTTGTCCGAAGAAGGGTGTTAGTGTTGAGCGCTGGTTTCTTATATCAGTACATATGCTATCCATGGATTAGGTATTGGGGATATACAGCAATCGTTGCAGCTGGATGGTCACTCCCACCCACTGCACAACCAGCCCAGTTGTAGAACGTCTTTATAGCAGCACGCACAACATCCTGCGGCAGATCTGAGTAGAGCAGATTGTGAGCCCAGGAGGCGAGATGATGCGTGGCCATGTGGTATGTCTATGCAGTCTGTAGCCTTGGAACTATGTATCGAAATGTCCGTGTTGAATCGGCCAATGGAATGAGAATGTAGAGCAGCTGAGAGGGCATGTGGATATATATACACATACACACAGCAGCTAGTCCCAAGCTTCTTTAGACTAATTGACGATTATTCATTTGTTGTCGTTGTCGGCTTTGAAGCCGCTCCCCGCTATCTGGAGAAGGTCCGACTGTCGGATATTACTTTTCGCGGCGATTATCCGATGTATACAGAACTGCATATTTGCTTCAATAATATCATATATATGAGATTATATAGATGAATGAACATATAGAGTATCAACACCTACTGCGATATATATAAATGAACAAACGAAACAAAAGCATAAGGGGTATCTCGCACAGTCGTATTCGCGTTGTGTGTTCTTTTCCACGTCAAAGAGATTTTATACATGAATTTGGTGACCCGAAAAAAAATATAAAAATAAAAAGGGATAAATACCATCATAGAAAGGTCAATGATTAATAAGACATCCACTGCTCAAACCCAGCTGGTTGCCATTCCTGGCCCGGATAGGCCGTGCTAGACATGACAATCTCTTCGTCAGAGTCATCGTGAGAAACCGGCAGTTCAATCGGAACTGTGTTTTTGGTGATGACTGATCTGTTCTGATAGAAATCCGGACTTGAGTTCTGTTTCGGAGTTCGAGTCGTAAGAGAAGCAGCGGCAGCAGCAGAATCAGCGGATGGTAAGTGTGCCGCCTTAGTTCCTGGATTGCGCAGGCCTAGACCGGCATTAGTCTTCTGCGCGGTTCGATTATTGAAGAAATATGATTCGGGTTGTATCGAGTTTCGAGGGGATAGTTGTCCATTAGACAGATTGTCTGGAAGAGTAATGGGAAACGGAAGAGACTGGTCGCCAATGCGTTCCGTTTCAGTCACTGCGTTGAATTTGCCTAGGTTGTAGATTGGATCGGAGTAATTTACATTCTCGCTGTGTGCGATTGATCGTACTGGATTTGGGCGAGGGCTGCGTGACCGCATGCGCAGATCTCGCGCTCGACTGCGTGACTCCTCTATTTCAGGGTAGGCTGAGGAAGCCCTGGCTCTGCTGTTGTTGTAGGATCGACTGGGCATAGAAGTTGCTGGTTGAGTCAGGCCCCGTGGATGATATGGATATTGAGTTGGGTTCGATGAGTATTGCGCCGGCTTCGACTGATATGCGGCAGGAGGGGGATTGGCGTAATACGTATAGTAGTCCTGTTTCGAGTAGCTCTGATCCGGGGCGTAGTATCCGTTAGGCGGAGGTGGCAATGGCTTGCTCTGTTCTGGCATTGGAGGATACTGGTTGTAAGATATTGTAGAAGAAGGGACTTGCTGATAGCTTGTGGCCTGTTTATAAACCGCCGGCTGAGGATTCCGCGACGGACTAGCATGCCTCGGAGTTCTATCAACATGCTGATGAATCAGAGGTGACGGAGTATTTCGCTCAGCACGTTGCTCTCTCTCTGTCGGATTAGCACCGGGACGGTTGAAAATACCCTAAAATAAATCAGTACGACAAAAAAAGGAAGTGAATAATATCATTACACTTACACTGAATCTAGAAAATCCCCCTCTCTTGCCGTCGGGGTTCTTTTCTTTCTTCTTCTCGGCTGGCTTTGTCTCGACTTCTCGCTCCGCTGGTTGAGCATTCGCTGCTGCATCTCTGGATTTCTTGCCCATGAACTTCATCCTGTTTCGAAATTGAGTTGACAGTCTGGCGTGAGACGAATGATCCGAATCAACATCGCTACTTTGATGCAGCGGAGATGGTTCTGGGAGAAGGTCATTTCGAGACAGGGCAGCTTGCACAGCGATGCTATCACTGCTTCCAAGACTATGCTCACGTCTCCCTGAAAATATTGAGGGCGTATCACTGCCAGAGCCGGAGAGATTATCCGATACAGTTCGTGCGTGTGCGCGATTCGAGATTCTGCCATTTGCCCATAACGATCTACCCAGTCTATCTGTAACTGCGGTGGCAACATTACTTCGCTGTTGAGTTGTTTTTGGTGCTTGCAGATCTTGACCCCAACGCGTTTGACTAGAGGGTTTCGCATACTGTGGTTCGGGGGATATTGCTGTCCGTGGCAAATTTGAGCTGACTGTCGGGCTGCTTATAGATGAGACTGACGAGGCAATTGAATTACGGTTCGTGCGTAATTCTTGCAGTCGACCAATCCTTGAAGTTGTATCATGAGAAGCAGCAGCAGCAGGTTGCTGATGAATTGGTCGGTAAATTGGGGGTCTCGTAGCTTCATTTGATTGCAAAGGCTGGCTATCTCCATTCGATAGACTACGCATAGCATGATTATACGCAGGCCTCTCTTCTTCTGTTTGCTGCTTATGATCTTCTCCGTACGAGGCTTCCGGGTCAGGAAACGGCGGAGGGGGCTCATCCGGTGCGTCTTCGCCCATGGTCACAGGAATTTGAGACGGCGACAACCCAACTGCTGATTCATTAGAACCAGTGGCAGGTTTCCCACGCCCATTTTCAAGCATGGCCTCTGCAAGTGTATTGCCCTCGCCTTCGAACGAGAATCTTGAATATCGCTTTGTATCGTCTTCGTTCTTCTGCGATGCATGCTTATTCATTGCAACACGAGCCATTTTCACCACACGGATTGGTTGCTGATTTTGTCGTGGAGAACCCGTCGGTGGTCGAGGGAAGTGTTGCCATGCATCATCTTTTTCTGGATCCATTTGGTAACCAGCTTCATCTAACTTCTCTCTCAGTGCATCGTATTCGTCGTCATCCTCGTCGTCCTCGTCGGTCATATCCGATACTTGAGACCGTGTAGGTGATGATTCCCTTGGTCCAGAATAAAGCCCTTCCTCGTCAAACTTTTCTCGGATACGGTCCATCTCATCTTCGCTCATAGCTGATACCTTGGAATTGATAGAATCTCGTCGGCTATTGTATTCAACAGGGCGCAGTTTGCCGTCTTGCGGAAGTGGAGGTAATACCGGATTATTAACACTTTTATCTACTGAAGCCAATGGCTTAGGCTCTGATGGTGACACAGACTCGGTAGCAGCAGAATTGGGTATCCTGGGTGTATCTTCCGGGTTGTTGCCGTCTTCACTCAATTTCGACACCTGGCTCCGCGAATGAGATATACCACGTGTAAGAGATGGAGACAATTCCGATGAAATAACAGACGGCGAGACGGCCGGCATAGTTTGCTCCTGATCTCGAGGATTTGAATACCGATCTAAGCTAGACTCAGATGCTTGTTCCGAGTCTGCATTAAGGAAAGTATACCTTCCCAGTATACGATGACCATTATTTGGATGATGAATCGCTTTGTCCTCTTTCGAACCGTCCTCCTGGTCACTATCATAACCACCATTTGAAACTATCGCAGATGAAGATCGATTTTTTGCAGAAGCAGACTCCCCGTTTACATCATATTCATCATCTGTATTGTCAAATCTCGACATTGCCCGCCGAAGAGAGCTTGGGCTGGCTGGCTTGACCGTGGGTACTCGCTCTTCGGCGACAGACCTCAGGTTGCTTTCGAAGTCAACAGAAAAAGGTCGTGATTGTCTTGAGAAGGCGTGCTCCCCGTCAAAGGAATGCCTAAAGGGCTTACTGTCCCCCAACTTTAAAGATGGAATTCGCGGAACAGGTTGCAGAGAGTACCGAGAAGAAAGCGACAAGCTGGCGGGTTTCTTTTCAACAAATTCTAAGTCTGACAATTGAGTATCAGGCTCACTGGCCAATGCCCAACTCCGACGACGCTGACCACTGAACATGGACGACACTCCCTACAGTAGAAAACCCACATTAGAATCATATAACTAGACATTTTGTGTGTAGCTGCATGTACATATACATAGAGGACAATCGTTCCAGTGCCGACCAAAATTTCATCTACGCGCTAACATGACCAAGAAGATAAACCATAAAACATAGGAAAAGAAAACAATAAAAAAGATATAGAAGTAACTCGCCCAGAAATCCAAAAATAGCAAACATCCAAAGTATGCGGTCCAAAAAGAGATATAAAAAAAAGAAAGAAAGAAAGAAAGAAAGAAAGAAAGAAAATCAATCTACCTTATCAGCACCTCGCAATTTGCTTTTGCCTTTTGCGAATAGCCCACGTGCGGCTCCACCAGCTTTTCCACCAAGCACTCCAGCGCTATGGAGAAGATCTTTTCCTTTGAGCTCCACGTTCTGTCTGTTCATCACACCAGTAATGTGCGGACCCGATGACCGCCTGGCATGGGTAGGGCTAATTCCACCTGGCGTAGATGCATCTGAGTGAGATGTAGATGGCAAAGACAAGTTTCCAAGTGACGATAATTTCGGAAACTTGGTCTTTGGAGGCAAACCGCTAGTTGGCGTGCCCCCTGGCAGACGGCCATTTGCTCGAATTAGGTCTGCGTGTTCAGGGAGAGATTCACTGGAGCGGCGAATCCAGTCCGACAGGCCGCTTTCAATCGCAGCAAACTGCTCACGTGTTTCGTTGAATACCCGGATTTTTTCGCTGGAAGAGGGAATCTCCAAAATCTTACGGAACGCAGGTAGTGATGATTCATCAACACGTGGTTGCAATGGCTGAGTTTGCGGTGGTGCATAGTCGTCTTCTGACTCAGTAAGCGCCGAGACTTGCGGTTCTGCTACAGGAGGGACGTAGCTTAGTTCACCCTGGGACTTTTCATCCCGTTCCTCGAGATTGTCGACAGTTTCCTTTTCTACGTCAGGCGAAGACTGCCGAATGGGTAGAGCGGTCTCGGCTCCGAGCGTATTTTCAGCAGAACTTTGATTTGATATAGATAGCGGAACGCTGATTGTGTTTTCAGAAGTCACTGTCTCCGCACCTGATATGGGTTGTACAGGCTGGCTAGGCACAACTGGTGCTGGCGGTTCCTCAAGAACGTCCTCTACATCCGAGTCATCAGAAGCTTCCCATGAAAACCTCTTCTTCAACGTGTGACGCGGCTTAGATACGGATTGCCCGGACGTGGGATCATTGGGATTGATAGCTGTTTCCTGATTTGCTGTCGGATTCGAGGGTTCTGCGGGTGGGGCGGTAGGCCGGAGTTGAAGTGGGTTCGTCGGAGGGATGCTTTGCTGATCATTCCAGTAGCTGTCGTATTCACTGGGCAAATACGTGCTTTGCCTAGCTTGAGAGTTATATTCCCCATATTCACCATTCTGAGCTTCTGCCTGAGCATCAAGGGCGGAGACATGTTCACTACTGAAAGACCGCATGATCTCTTTTCGCAAACGATCGCTCTCCAAGTCCTGAGGAGAAGTTTCTGTACTCAGTGAAGGCACAATTTGTGGGATATTTTGTGCATGCTCTTCGGGGATCTGTAGCGGCGTCGGCCCGCGCGAAATGATCTCCTCACTTGACTTGATTCCATTCTCCCTTGAGGTAGGCTCTAGTTCTGAACGACCGACAGTTGCATGAACACTCGACAAAGGACGAGGAGTGGCTTCCCCAGGCACGACCATTGACTCAGCGTACTCGTGATCTGGTGTAGTCAGACTTTCCCGAGGTGATGATAGAGATGCTTCAGTTGATTGGCTTTCTTCAGGATGGGTAACTATTGGTATCCTATCCGGCCCATTTCCTGGAGATGGAATACTTAAATCTCGCCGGTGACCAGGTTTGAAATTCAAAGGTGGCTCCTGTGCAGATGCTTCCGCCATGGGATCTTCTGTAATGGTAGGCGTCTTGTCAGTCTCGGACTTCCACGGGCCGACGATTGGACTAATGATAGACGTGCTATCACTGTTTGAACGACTGAAGTTTCCGGCAGTAGAGCTCGGCGTCTCTGGCACATCAAATGCTTGATGTACAACAGAGGTGAAGCCCAGAGATGGGTTATGATGCAGAGACGAACCTTGATCTACCACTTGAGCCTCCGAAGCATGGGAAGATTGTGCAGGGTTACTCGTACCACCCAAGAAGTCTTCTCCGAAGCCGGATAGCCTCTTTACTTCGGGTATTATCAATGGCGATGCCGATCGCGCAGTCTCTTCTGAATGTTGAGATGGCGTATTCTGATGATCGTATTCGTCGACTATAGGAGCAGGAGCGGAAGCCGGAGCAACTTCTGAAGAAGCCGGATTTGTAGCAGTTGATCCTTGAATACTACCATTGCCCTCTTGCATTTGTTTGCATATATCTGCAGGTCGAACAAACGTAGGCGACTGTGTACGCGGAGACTCGACGCTCTGGTTTAAGATATTTGTAGGCGACTGAGAAGGTACCGCACTTGGGGCTGGTCCGGAGTATAATGGTTGATGCGCCGTAGAAGATGGGAGGCGAGATGTGCTTGGAAGCGGGGGAACTTCTTCCTCTTCTTCTAGTTCGTCCTCCTCGTCGTCATCATCACCCCAGTCGTCTCCGTCGTAGGAATACGATTTGGCGGCAACCCATTTCTTCGTCTTTTTGCGATTGATATCGGTTTTGAAAGAGACCGGTTGATTCCCTGTACTTCCATTGCCGGGATATCTGCAATGTGACAGCACGTCAGTAGGCAGCGACGATAGAGTGTGAACATCTACAAACATACGCTGGACGATAGGGTCCCGACATTATGGACTCAACCGGGAGAAACTATGCGCGACAACGACAACGACGAGCGCCTTGTGCTGTCGTTTAGATGAACATAGTAAAAATATGGGGGGAAGAGAAAAGGGCGTATGATAGTTGGCAGCGAGTGAAACAAGTCAGACAACTGCAACGAACGTGCAGATCCAAAGCTCCACTTGTGCGCAAGTGCATACAACACAGCCGGGCTGGCCAATTTGGCATGAAAATAAGAACAATGAATGCACACCGAGTATATGATGAGCGCGACGATTGAAGACCGGGGGGGCAGGCAATGATCGAGAGTAAATACAAAAGAATCGTCTCCCCTTTTTGTTTTTCGCAGGAAGAGAAGCAAGCACGACCTGAGGAAGTCGCCACTACCGACCGGTGGTTGGCTAGGCTGTAACCGGATTAGTGCAATATTTGTGTTTGCCTCATTTCTCAGGCTGCCAATTGTCCTACCGTATCTAGCTGCAAAACAACACAACAAACCATTGTTCCCCTCAGTGAGTGGTATGGCTGTTTATTATATATATGATACTCTGTAAGAAGTACGTCTTATGATACACAGTATCTGCGGTGAACTCATAGTTACACCTTTCTCGTCCCAAAATGGCTGATGACCAATGCCTGCAGCGTTTATTTATCTGTCTATATCTTTCCAACTACCGGTCCCTACCCAGGCGCTCCTCGTTATCCTCTTTGAGCTCGTAAGCCGGCCGAAAGCGGGATGGGTCATTCTCAACTGCAAGTGCAGGATTCGGTTGCGTATCACCAACCCCTCCAAGAGACGTGAAGCCTCGGTCATATAAAGGGCAGTATTCCAGGTCGAGATATCGAATAAACTGTAGACATGTCAGCGAAACCACCGTTCATAATGCACCTTCCTATCCATCAATCATTGAATGACGACCGCAACGGCTGGATAACTTACTGCCCAGATCTCCGCGTAGTGCCAGTCCTGGTAAGAGAAGATTAGCCGAGAAGCATACTCCAAGACCGGATGAAATCGCAATACTCACAATAACTGGGTGTATTCGCATGAACTGAGGCCAATCTTTGTCTGTATAATCGAAATGCGTAAGATGGCCGCCGTTCGGGTCTACGCGTCTCGTGCCAATCCAAATGGCTTTAATATTCGGCTTCTCGTCTAGATATGCATCGAGCGCGGGCCGCATGGGAAGGACATAACGTGAAAGCTCGAGGAAATATTCTCTGGCGGAAGTCGCAACAAACTCCTCGACCTCCGGGAATGAGTCGTACGGAATGATAAATATAGATTGGAGATGTTCTGGGAAACGCGAAAAAGTTGATGTTGAAGAAGGCAAGCAAGCCAGGATCAAAACCAGTAAGACCAGGCAATCCTTGCCGCCATTATATGAAAGCGATAACTCGTCGGGTCTGGATTTTGTGAGGTCAGGGTGTTGTTGTTAGCCCATGCGCAGCTATCTCGGTTGATGCACATACCGGTATCGCTTAAATGACTCCTCTATAACTTCTAAAGAAATCCGGACCTGCTTTTGGAGATTCTGTAACAGCTCATCATTCGTCTGTAGTTGTAGTAAGTCGACAACCTTGCGCCGCAGTTCGACGGCTACTTGTTCTAGAGTGCGGGGTGGTGCGTCGGACGCGGAGGATGGCTTCGCGGTACCATTGACTCGCGACCCAGCCTGGGCAGAAGACGAGTCCTGGTTCATGGGGATAGAATAGTGAATGGGCAAATGGCCATGGGTGCTTTGAGAAGAATTGGGGCGGTTTCCTGGAAGATTCTGATAAGAGTCATAAGATTGGCGATAACCTTCTACCCCACCGTCCACGGCGTTCGGAAAGACAGCGAGAGAGAGCACAGTGGACTTTTTAATTGAAATGATGTGTTGTACTGAACTTGAAATAGACTGGTGTACATGTAAATGGTTGCTTGCCAAAAAAAAAAAAAAAAAAGAAAATTCGGGGATTGAGTTCAATCGTCAATGACGCATTGTGCTATACCCGAGCTGAGAGTCGCCAGATCAACATCGAAGTCGCTAGAAATTCAGCATTACCACTATGTAATATAATAATATGAAATATGAAGGACTTTACTTAGCGGACTGTATAGGATCATGCTTGTGATTACATTTAATCTTATACAATTCGCGAATGTTTCTATTCAACAGCATGCTAATTAATATATACATGCGACTCCTAACTTTATGACGGGTTGCCCAAGTCAAGAAAATCTTACATTTCAAAGCGCGTTTTTAGAGCATATTTTGCATTTCTGTCTGTCAATCATCTAGTGGCTGGTGTATTAATTTCGTATTTAACCAGGCTTTTGCATCTCTTAAATACAAGCGCCTACAACCAATCAATACGAGATCCTGATTTGGGCTTAGCGCCCATGTGATTCAGCCCGGAGAAAACGCTGAAACGTGACAGGGGACTTGCACTAAACCGCTTTCGGCATTTGGCCATCAAGCCAGCACTTGCTACGCAGCACGCTGTCACTGTCTTCTCGTCTCGACCCTCTCTATCCTTGCCGCCTTGGACAGTCACAAGCTGGGGCCCATGGATAACTGACTTACCGGTCGAAAAGCTACATCATAAATCAATCGCACATCACCGCGAATTCGCGTCGAAGCCACACGTCCTGTGCGATTTGCTGCGCCTCAAGTCCATCGCCTCCCTTGACAACCACATTCTACCATCACCTTCCGGCGCAGTCTCAGCACTAACAGACGCCATACCATCTTTTGTACATATAATAGAACAACTATATCATCCGCCAACATGACGATGGCCTCGATACAAGACCGGACGACCGAGTTCCGGTCCATCCTCGGACAGGCTCAGAAGCGAATGGCCTCGAACAAAGTCGGCGCCCAACGCCAAGCATTGCTTTCAGATTCACAACGCCGCCAGGCTGATGCGAGCCCAGAGGGCGCTGGAAAGAGAAGGTCCGAGTTCGCCAGGAGAGCCGTTGAGATTGGTCGGGGCATCACAGGTACAACTGCGAAATTGCAGCGACTGGCAGAGTGTAAGTGATGCTTGCAACGCAGACATCCCGTGTGGTGATATGATGGGAAATAGCTAATGCGATATCAGTGGCCAAACGGAAAACACTCTTTGATGACAGACCCGTCGAAATCTCCGAGTTGACATACGTCATTAAGCAAGACCTGGCTTCATTGAATTCTCAGATTGCACAGCTGCAGGCCCTTACATTATCGCAGCACCCTCGAGCAAGCCGAAACAAAACGGATCAGGAGGGTGAACATAATGACAATGTATGAGAAGACCACAATTCAAAAGTAGACAATACATGTCGAGAACAATCTACTAACAGACGTGTTTCAGGTCGTCGTTATGCTGCAAGGCAAGCTGGCCGACGTAGGCGCCAATTTTAAAGAAGTCTTGGAAGTCCGCACCAAAAATATTCAAGCATCACGCTCGCGCACAGAAAACTTTGTGTCTTCCGTTTCATCCAAGAGTCACACGCAATTCGACCCTCAGCGATCCGACTCGCCTCTCTATAATGCTCCACGTAGCAGAACACCCCAACCGGGCTTCCGCAATGGCGGTAACTCTTCAGACCTTCTCACCCTCGAACCGTCGTCTTCTTCTGTCCTTGGCCAAGCCGGTTCTAGCCGTGGCACGTCCGACCAGCAACTCCTGATGATGGAAGAAGCACAGCCAAACAACACATACATTCAAGCTCGTGGAGAAGCCATCGAAGCCATTGAACGAACTATCAATGAGCTGGGCGGCATATTTGGCCAGTTAGCGACAATGGTTAGCGAGCAATCGGAAATGATTCAGCGCATCGACGCAAACACGGAAGACGTCGTTGATAATGTCGAGGGTGCGCAGCGCGAGTTGATGAAGTATTGGACACGAATGAGTGGCAATAGATGGCTTATTGCGAAGATGTTTGGTGTTTTGATGGTATGGTTTTGACCATTTTTTATATTTTGCTGTTGATATCGCGTGGAGAAAGGGTTACTGACCGATCTGATGCAGATTTTCTTCCTTCTTTGGGTCCTGATATCCGGCTAAGTCATTCGTTTCGGGCCAAATCATCAATGTCTCCGTGATTATTCTTGACTGCCGTTGATTTCCTTTCAAATAAATATCCGATCATCCTCGTGGCGTCTTCCCATCGCTTGTAGATATCATGTGCGTCTTTACCGATATGTACTCTAATACCGCTATTTCTTTTGTTTCCTCCTCCCTCCATGACCCCCATGACAATGACTCTATTTTCTTCTTATCATATCGATCGATCGAGGAAGGAAAGTCTGTCCTTTCCCCTTGCTTCCTTTTCTTCCTTCACCCTTCTACACTTCTATTCTTCGATTCTATTTTATTGCATTCACACCTTTGCCCAACTTACCTTTTTATATTTCTTTTCTCTTCATTCTTCTCCCTTTTTATTTGCCTGGGATATGCGTTGGAATGGGATGGATGTCTGCAAGCTTGTTACTTCTTAGACGTGGAATATATAGATATTCCTCCCGTCATAATATCTGTTAGATGGCTGGACCGTCTGACTTGAAAGGGAGCGAACATACAATCTGTCTTGAGTATTTTGATCGATATATCCGAATATACCAATAGGTAGTAGTAAATCTTCTAAGTGGATAGTAAGGACTGACGTAAGCAGACCGTCCTCGACCAGACTTCCTCATGGAGCTTCTTCACATCATCAACTTACCTAGCTATATAATCGCACTACGAAACCAATAATTGCTCTGTTTCTCCTCCTACCCCCCCCCGACCCAAACAAGAGATATCTCTACAACATGCATACAAACCCCTTAACCGGCCGCAATCAGCTATTCCAAACCCCGCACTCCCGCTGGTTGGCCCTCACCCATCGCGATCCATCATCTCACTCCTCTTTTCTCTATGGCGTCAAGTCCACAAAAATATACTGCCGCCCCACGTGTCCTGCGCGCCTCGCTCGACGAGCCAATGTCGTCTTCTATGACACACAAGAGCAAGCGCGCCGCGACGGCTTTCGGCCCTGCAAGCGCTGTCGACCTGACAACGCGGGCTTTGTCGGGGTTGCGGAGGAGATTGTTTCACGGGTTATAGCGCTTGTGCGGGTCGAGAGAGACTCTTATGATGATAACAATAACAATAACAGAGGGAATGATGAATTGACGATGATGAAGCGCAGCTTGAAGGACTTGGCTCACGAAGTCGGGGTTACGCCGAGTTATCTTTGCCGCGTGTTCAAGAAGAGGATGGGGGTTACGATTGGGACGTATATGATGGAGTTTGAGAGAGAGGAGGGAGGAGAAACAGAGGTAGGCAAGAGTGGAAATGCGTTGGATCGATCTTTTCATGATACTCCTAAATCAGCCCGAAATCCCGCTCTAGCGCCTCAGATTCTAGATGGAGGCCTAGTAGAGACTTCTGGTATGCAGAATGGTGAAGAGGCGCTGGACTTGAATTTTGATTTTGATGAGTGGTTCTGGGCTGAAGAGTTTGTGAATGATAGAGTGATTGAGTGCGCCGTTTGATATAATTCTTATAATATATATATATATATATATATATATATATATATGTTCAAATGAGCAACTTGCACTTTGCTGCTTTAATATCTAGGTACCTAGGTACATAATGTATAATCTATGTGCGACTCAGCTGGCTGTAAGTGAGTGATATGTGGATCAAACCTGGAACCATTCATTAGGGCTAAATTCTGAACCCTACACCTACACCCGTACAGTGGTAGAGATATCTAGACAGCATTAGAACAGGTGAATATCCAATCACCACACTTGAACATAATATAACGTATCATTATTCCGCATAATGGTGATATCAGGGTCATCTTCTCTGATACTCAGGCACATAAGCGAAAAGCTCCATCGGACAGCGGTGGCCTATGATTGGCCACTTTGAGTACACAGCTTGGTTCATAGCTGTACTGAGATTGAAGTGTGCAAGGAAGATATCATTCAACCTAATTGAAAGGGTTGATTGCTTCTCTCTTGGATTGTATCGCACGCTAGAGAATCCATACTCTTTCCTGTAGGCACCGTCTACGGCAAATAGTAGCAAAATGTCCGCCGAGAGCAAACACTCTCCAGACTCTTCTCAACTCGCAACCACCGACTTAGAGACCCAAAGCCTTGACACTAGATGCACAGCTTCCTATCCCGAAGGCGGCCGAGACGCCTGGCTGGTCGTGTTAGGCGCATGGTGTGGCCTAACCGCCTCGCTGGGCATCTACAACACAACCGGCGTATTCGAGGTTGTCATCTCAAAGGTGCTCTTACCAGAAGACGGCTCGTCTACCCTCGGCTGGATGTTCTCAATCTACGCATTCGTAACCTGGATCTGCGGCGTGCAGATTGGACCGACCTTTGATGCGATGGGGCCGCGTGCACTCATTGTCGCAGGCTCGGTTTGTACGCTTGTTGGCATGTTCGCTCTCAGCGTCTGTACAAGTAAGCAAGGCCATGCTAAAGGGCCGCTGCATTACATGCAGACTAACAGGATTGCATAGAATACTACCAGATCGTCCTGTCCTTCTCTGTCCTAACCGGCATCGGCTCATCGCTCATCATCACCCCATCCATGGGATGCGTAGCGCACTGGTTCCTGAAACGCCGCGGTCTTGCCAGCGGCATAGCATTCATAGGCAGCGGATTCGGCGGCGTTCTCTTCCCACTTATGATCCAATCGCTTCTGCCCCAGGTGGGCTGGGGATGGTCCATCCGCATTCTCGGGTTTGTCCTGCTCGTGCTCTGTGCTGTCAGCGTGGCATTTTGCCGAAGTCGACTACCACTACTGCTACGGCCTGTGTCTGACATCGGGGCTAGGGCTACTCCCAATTGGCGAGATGCATTGCCGGATCCTAGGATATTTGTGGATGGAACCGGGGCAATGGCTGTTACTACCCTGGCCGTCCTGTTGATTGATCTGGCGTACTTTATACCTATTACGTATATACCGAGTTACTACATCGACCGACAGCAGTTGTCGCATGAGGAGGTCTTGTCGGGCTCGGCGGCGTTTGCGTATCAGCTTCTTGCTATTCTAAATGCTGCTTCGTGCATTGGTCGGTATGTGGCGGGTGACCTGGCAGATCGGTTTGGGCGGTATAATACCATGATTATCTCGCTGTTGCTCTGCATGGTGTCTGTTCTGTGTTTCTGGTTAGTCGATATTGTCGTGCCAGATTTAAAGCCCAACAGCTACGCACTCCTGATGGCGTTTATATTGCTATTCGGGTTCTGTAGCGGGTCAAATGTTAGCCTGACGCCGATCTGTCTGGGCCAGCTGTGCGAGACGAAAGACTATGGGAGGTATTATGCCAGTTCCTATACAGTCGTGGCGTTTGGCGTGCTGGCGAGTATCCCTATTGCTGGCAGTTTGCTCAATGCAGTGCACGCTGCAGGGAGAGAGAGGTATTGGGGAGTTGCGCTTTTCGCGGGGCTCAGCTATGCAGCTGCTTTCCTCGCTCTGCTGTGGGTTAGGGTTAGAGTGAAAGGGTGGAATTGGAGAATAAAATGGTAGAACAAGATTTGAGCAGTCGAAGAGTAATCCTTAGCTAGAAATGCGACTCATTGAATGGTTAATGCAGGCTTTCATCGTGATTAAGTATATCTAGTAGTTCTAGTATGTTATTACGCGGATATCTCTGTCCTATGTACATTATCATGCGCTGCCTCTTTGGGATCATCATTACTGCCATCATCACGATACCGCGGTATCTCATCACCGGCATACATCTCATGCGGCGCCTTCTTCGGCTCTGTACCAGCCATCTCATGGGCTATCGTGCCGTCCATCTCAAACCGAGATGAGTCCCCCGCGATTTCGGTGGGTACATTGCTTGCGCGATAATACGGGTTCGAGGGTTCGGTTGACTGTGCGGCTTGATACCGTTTCTTAGCCCTTCGTCGATACCAGAGCCATGCCAGCCCTGCTGCAATGAGTACCGCTACACACGGGATGACGACGGCGACAGCAATTGTTGTTGTTTTGTGATTTTGACTGCCTGAAGATGTGCCTGTTGCAGTGGATAATGACGATGACGATGACGACGATGAAGAAGAAGCGGAGGGAAGATCGGTCGCCTGGAATTTGAGCTGGACCATGGTTGCAATCATGGATAGGGTTGTGAAGTTGAACATTTCTGTAATAACTGTTGAACGAAGCGTGGTCGACGCGGTGAAGATCGTGGGGAGAGGCAACAGTGTTGATGACGATGAAGCACTGTTTGTGACATTTACACAGGTGATCAGGAGCTGCTGCGTGGTGGCAGGGATTACTTGCTGACACAACTGAGTAGACGCAAGGTATACGCATCCGTATCCCCTTCCCATCATCTATCGGTTAGCCTTATCTTGTAAAGAGAAGAACTAGAGGAAGCCATATCCTACGTTGGACAACACCCCATCGCCGTCTCATAAGCACTCGGTGTGTGTACAAAGCCGAAGCTTTCAAAGCCGGACAACGTAGACTGAACTCCATTCGACCCTGCCTGCGCCGCACAGGCTGTCGCATATCCAGCGGGACATGAAATGCCCGGGGAGTAGTAGCCAATATAATCATAGCTGGTGCTCAAAACTGACGAGGCGCCGACCAAGCTTGCGATGATCTCGGATTTGGTTACTGGAGGGAGACAGTTGTTGTCCTGGATGTAGGTGATTTGTCCATCAACACTTGCACAGGTTTGACCTAGATAGGGGTCATGATACTGTGCACTGTTGGACAGCCAATATGCCTGACTGCACTGAATGGGCGCGGTGAACTGTGTAGTCAGTGGGCCGAGAAGGTATTCTGGTGTTGATGCTTCGGTGATTGTTGTTGTTGGCGAGATTATCGACGCAGTTGCTGAAACCGAATTCGAAGATGTAGCTGTAGCTGTAACTAATATAGTTGTAGTTGCAGTCGCAACTGTCGCGCTGGCCATTCTGTCACTATTTCTCCTCCTCGTATGACTCGTGAGCTGCCGCTGAAAACCAGCTTCACCCACGACTACCGTCTCTGGCCTTTACTTGCACGGCGTTCACCAGCATGCAAACGCAAAATCATCAGCAACAACCGGGCGTTCGTGTGTGGCCAGGATCGGGGGTGCAATCAATACTAATGCATAGGCTAAGTTGGTATTCATACGCCCTTTACTCCGTAGTCTGGTTCAGTAGAATCTAGTTTGCCCGCTAATTTCTAGACCTAGAGCCATCATTGGATCAATCCGCGTAGACCCCTGGACCCTTTTTCGATCTAACTATGCTAGCCTGAAATCTAATGCAGCGAGAATACTCTCGTGGAAGACTAGATTCAATCAGGCAGTCACTCTCGGTCCTTCAGCATGAATCATGATGGCACCGCACATAGTAGTGTAGGTCGTATTGCACGTATCGCAAAATTAGTCTCCATTAGTGCCCGACTCATTTCTTTGTCTGAAAATTGGAAAAAGCAAATATAAACACCGGGCTATTCCTTTCTTGAAGTCTCTCACTCGGAAATATTCACGATTTTCCGACGGTAGATTACAAAAAAAAAAGGGGCACATTCTTCCCGCTTAGCCCTAGCCCTAGCCCTAACAACGGATTCCGGATCTGTTCACCTTCTTATTCTTGAATCACGATAAACCAGTGTCCATTATGTACGCGATAGATAGACGATACCTTGGATATATGTATATCAGCTTGATTATGTTTGACTGGCTGATCAGTAACACCCCGCCACATCATAGCTGCGGTGCCATGCATGGGCATCATCCATAAGGTTGTCAATTACAACTTACAGCATGTGTTAGTCGGATTATAAACATTCCCAAGTTATGTAAAGTATAGGTATTTGATTAATTATTATATCAAGGGGCGAACAATATCTAACAGACATGGACAAGAAAAGAAAACAGTAGCTAAAACCGAAGCGGCCAGCAGAGGTATATAAAGTAAAGCAAGCTATGCTGATTGAGATTATACCAGAGAACCGCCATCGTAAGTAAAAAGTAAGAATAGATAGATGAATGAATGAAAATGAGTCACTCAAAATAGTGTCGTCGGACACAACATCTCAGCTTTTGTGACCCTATTTCCCATAACGACCGCCCACTTTGAACAAAAGTTGACGAACAGAAAGTCAACATCTAGAGCCAACCATTCCGGGAGTAATCTTCAGGAGTGAGTCTATCATCCTGGGAGCAATATTCAGCCTTGAGCCAGTTATGCTGGGAGTGATATTCAGGAGTAACGATCGTGACCGACTTCTTTTTCCCCTTTTGCACTGTTCCATAATCCTCAATCCTTGTCGAGCGTTTAATATCTTGTACTGTCTTCTCAAGGACGATTTTAGCAGCATCATCTCTTGTCAAGCGTTTGCTTCCTTGTACTGTCTTTTCAAGGTTGGTTATAGTAGATATCGCAGAGTATCTGCCTCCCACTGACTTTGAATAAATCGAAGAGGAATCATTGGATGTGATGTCCCCATTGAGGAACTCATGGACTTTTTCGTCGCTTTCCATGGGGGTACCAGGAAACCTAACCTTTTCAATTTGCAAGGGCCCGATTCCTCTTTCCACAGGCGTCATGACACTCTCCAGGTTCCTCGGTATCTCGGTTCGTGGCAACCCACGACCTTGGTTCCCAGACTGCTGATAGAGGCCAGGTTTAAGCGATCCTCTTCTAGTAGGATCTGAAGGCCAAACCTGGGCCGGAGCACCCATTGAAAATCGCACTTGTTCGCTGCCAGGCGACGGCCGAGAAGGTATATCGCGTTTCTCAGCATAAGAAAAGCTCTTAGGCCTACCAAAACTCCTTCCTCTCAGAGAGTCCAGATCACTGGAGCCGTCACCCTTCTTGATAGCGCCCCTTCTTTTTAACCCAGCCATATCTGCGTTGCGTGATCGTCGTCGTCGTCTTACAAGGCAGAGAAATGTTATCGCGAGAATTGCAATAAAGGCTATTGCAGAGCAAGCTATGGCCACAATCGCGTAAGTAGGAAGCTTGTGCAGGCCTAGGGCTTTTGATGAGTCGGATCCCTGAATCGCGGCGGTTGTCGCCGTTGCTGTGGCTGTACCTGACAGAGTAGTAGCAGCAGCAGTGCTAAAAGTGGAATGGAAAGAAGAAAGACTGTTGCTTTCTGAAGCAGCGGTAGCAATTGCTTCAGCTTCCGCGCTAGTAACACCCGGTGCTGTCTGTTGAGGAGGCTCGGCCTGATGTTGTTGTTGTTGTTGTTGCTGTTCACTTGAAGGTGATCCAGTAGGGTCTGCCGCGTCTCCTTCAGTCAGTGTTGGTGCTGGAACTCCCGGGGGAAGTGTTTTTGTGACCTGAACAACCGTACTAATCAAGACAAGATCTCCAAGGACGCCCACGCCCAATCCAGCGGTTGTTATTCCCAAGCGATTAAGCGCTGCTATGCCCAGAAAAAGCAGAAGTTTAAACAAAAGGTGGATATGATGTTGTGTTCTCTTTCGAGCTGAGTTGTTGAAACGTTGCGAAGGAAAAGGAGAAGAGGCCTTAATATCCATAGTCATCGTTTTCATCGTGAGTCGTACTGTCCGCTCGTAAGTTGAGTCAATCAAGCCATGAGGGTTCGCTGTTAGATATGTGTCATCTTTTTCGAAAACCGATTACATGAGATAGGTTAGGGAAGTCTAGTATGAACCCTTAACATAATACAGAAAGTGTAAAAAAAAAAAAATAAGAAAAAAATAGAGAAAGTAGCAATCAGAAAGATAGACAGTACAAGAAAGAAACATTTTTGACTGCATGAGTATTGCGCCATGAGTACTCATATAAGACATAGTGAGTCAAGGTTGGCCTCAGAGATATGATTCCATCGTGCAGGCTTTTATCTCATGTTTTCTCTATGGCCAGACCAAGATGACTACTCAGGATAGATTCATGGAGGAGATGGGTTGACAATGCCTTTGTCCATTATCGGATTATTCTATTTGTATAACAACAGGCAAATCCACGTAATATAAATTTTCATTCTTTGTTGTTTCTACCCCTTTCGCGATACTTATCGCTAAGTTGACGCAGTTCTCGCTCGAGCTTATCCGCAAATGCTTCGAGTAGCCACTCAGCTTCTGGCTTGTCACCCAGGAGTGGACTTCGATGGCTGATCCAGCTCCATTTAGGTCTGTTATTTCCGCCGTTGGCATGGCCCTCGGAAGTAACATTTTCGACAGCTTTGTCTTCTCCCAAAAGTTTCAAAAAGTAAACCCATTCATCATAATCGAATTCTTTCGCAGGAGTTGTGTTCATCCATTTGACCATTTCTCGTAGCTCTTTCATTAGAAGATATTGGTGAAGGTAAATATTCTCGCAAACCACATCTCCGCGTTTCCCTGCCCCTTGTTCTTCCCTGAGCTGTTCATCCTCAAGCGCTTCTTCACCTCGTGCAATCGGTGTGCTAAAACCTTCATTGATGTTTCCCCTCTTGGATGTAGACTTAAGGCTACTTAGAGTGAAAGGCCATAGTTCGGCATGGAAAACTTGTCTAAAGCGCTCACGGTATCCCATGTCTCTAGGTAATAGCGTCAGTTCACCAATCAAGTTTGCAAAGTCTCGGAATTGGCGAATGAAAGTGTCGCCTAGATTCGAGATGAAAATCGTCATAGCCGGCACGGCAAGTAGAGACCAAAATACGAAGAATGCTCGTCCCCAATTTGAGATATTATATATGTCACCGTAGCCGATTGTTAGCAGACTAGTAAATGTATAGTACAACGACTCGAAATAAGACCACTGCTGGGTGGACTCTGCATACTCAAAGATGACAGCTCCAATGAACCATAGAATCCCGACAGCCACCCCGGAAGTGAATAGAGACAACCAACGATGGTCCATATGAGCAAGTTGCCTTACTTTGCGCATTGCATAGAACTCTTGTTTTGCAAGTTCCTCACGGTTTAGCTCCGTATCGCCTCCAAGGACTGGAAGGAGTCTGAGCACACCAGAGCCACTGCTGCTGCGGGGGTCTTCTGACTGGACCATTACTTGAGTAAATGCGCTGCGGGTCTTTTCAAGCAGTCTACTCCTCATTTTGTTCTTCCCTCGTTCTAAGACAAGGGATCTGATAGACCCAATCACAATACCAATTATCATAACACCGCCGAATGCATACGGAAACAAAAGGCCGCGGCCCAGATGTGTGGTTGGAGCAGGATAGCCGATACCGATAGTAAGTATTGTAAAATCTGACCACCACACTGCGTCGCAGAAAGTCCAGCCTTCAATATGTGAGTATACGGCCGATCCTGCAAGTATATAAACCAAGAAACCGACAGTTTGTATCATCAGAGTCCTCTGGCTCTGGCTGAGGTCAAACTTTCGACTATAATGGCCTTTCACAGCTCCGTACGCTGTGATTATCAAGAGATTGGCAAGGATGAAGTAAAGACCAGCAGCAATACATCCATAGTAATACGCTTCTGTCATCTGCATTCCCAGGCTTGCATTCCCTGGCGACTGCACCTGATGAGCAGCGATGGAGAGGATGACAATCAGTAGCACTGAAGCCGTATACCAACCGAGAATGACGATAGGGAGCGCAATGTCGAAAGAAAATTTTTGCGCCATGGTCAGCAACAAGCACAGATTGGAAAAGAGCGCTGCAGCAAGCGAGACGGCGTTAATAGCTATCTCCCAAGCCGGGTCGGCGAGATCCTTTCCAGCATAAGGGGCTTCCCCAGAGGTAACGACCTCCGTCCATTTTTGTGCGAGGGAGCATACGCTGAAGGCATTGGCCATGGGACCAAAGGTTGCCGCTATCAGCGGAATCTCAGTGCTGGCATACCACCATGTTGCGGGCTGCAGAAACTGGTCCAGCTGTCTGTCCGCGGATGCCCAATGTATGTATGCGTCGGATTCTCTCCCATCTGGTTTCTTGGACCCGCTCCGTGTTCTGGTTTCGAGTTCATTCGCCGTTTCGGCGATGACGGGGTCAAACCCAGGGTCATTCATAGCCAAGGTACTTTATGCACAAAACTCCGATGAAATAAATATTCGACAGACCCGCGGGATGCGTAGCAAATTCTCCAGCGCGAAAGATGGAGACCCATGGCGAGCGTAGACAGATTCTGAAGTGGCTGAAACTAGATTGAATTGAATGCGTCTGTCTATATGTCGTCAGCGTCGAGAATCGTCTGGCATTTCCCTGGATAAAACCTTGCCTGGGCACGACGTCATAATTGTTTGCACGAACGATGTAGTCAAATCTACTACGAGACGGTGTGAAATTAATCGATGTTATAGCAGTGTGATATGGCATTAGGACAGTGAGGAAATGACGATGGAATTATTCTTTTGGTGCACGTGAACAGATGCCGTAGTAAGCTGAGGAAGGAAGGCACTACCTAAGGTACATACATACAGACAGGGCAGGAGCACACCCAACGAAGCAGCCTTGGACACTTCCACTCCCCTCCGCATTATTCTTGCAACCCTCCTCGCTCGCCATTCCATCTACAGGATCCCTACAATGTCGCGCATCTTGCAAGTCGAGATTACGCGGCTGCAAGAATCAGGGGTATGACGCTGCTCCGTTCTCCAGATTGTGTTATCAAACCTCTACGGCTAGGCCAAAGCTAAGCGTTGCGAGACATCTCGAGGCTCCACGTGTGGGGAATTGCAACGTGGTGGAAATGATGGATGCTATCTAAGCCTTGGTTAGGCCTAAAGTCTACGTCTTGCGCCATTCTGATAGAAAGCTGCAAGGCACTCTGTCGTGACACCGCATTCTTTTCGCATAGACGGGCATTGGACAATGGACACGGGACAAGGGATGCAACGCCGACACATCGTTCAAGTTGCCACTGCAAGGAGAGCGAAGATAACGGTTCTGGAGAAGATAGCGTGGTGCGTAGTGGCACAGTGCGCCATCATCCAAGGACCATGGCTAATTAATTTGCTAGGCCGCTTGCAGTGGGGCGTTGTCTGTCTGTGAAGATAGCAATATACCGGTGCTTCGCTTCAACTGTAGACCGACTGTACAGTATATTGCCGGGGTATGTACACTCTCACATAAGACGGTGCGCTCATCGCATATGACTGTAAGTGTTTGCTGCTGAAAAAGAAGACGACGAAAAAGAAAGAAAGAAAGAAAGAAAGAACGGCATATCTTCGGGGAGACCCCAAAAGGGCCGCTGGTTGGCGAGTGGCGGCGGGCCCGTGTGCATTCCATTCCGCCTTTAGTGTCTGGCTAAGTCCAAAGGATCATATTGCACATCGCATCGCTTGCTTGCTCTGATCAATCCATCGCTTGTGTTTGAACGATATCGAACTGCGACCGAGCCTTGCCATAAAAAATCATTCCTCTCTCGCTCATTGCCCGACCCCTGTCCCGTCGCTCGTTCGTCTAGTCCATTCGCTCGCTCTTCTCGTCCCCTCACATTGTCGCCGCTTGCCAATCGAATACAATAAATACACCACATTCCATCCCCTTCCAACGCCGCTGCCAGAGTGCGCGCAGACTGCGGGGGTGCTGTACGCTGGCAGCATTGCTGGTGAAATCTAGACGAGAATTAACCGACAGATTCGCTCAAGTTCAATGTCGCCCGCCATCTCCATGATCACCTAACTGTGCTCGTCGCTTCCCGGTTTGCCGTCTACTCGATCATCTGAGATCATCATCGCTTCGGATTCCTGGCCGTAGTCATGTTGCTGAAACCCGCAACCCCTCTCTCAGTGCTACTGTTCATCTCGTTTGTGCTACTGCTGCTCTCCACTCTCTCGACGCCTGTCATCAGAGCGATTCCCCTCGCAACTTATCAGAATGTAGACTTTGGCGTTTTTGGGTATTGCAGGGGGTCGACATGCAGTGTAGCTCGCGTGGGCTATGACACAGGTACGTCGGATATAAACATCATATGCGTGTATAACTCGGGGTTGGTGGCTAATTCTTGGTCGCTACGAAGAAAATATCTTTGGCGCCAGCGAAAGCAGTGATTTTAATCTCTCGTCCAGCGCCCGCAACTATCTCTCAGCCATCCTGATTGTCCATCCGGTGGCTGCTTTCTTGGTTCTGGTCTGTTTGATCATGGCCGTAGCCTCTCACTTCCATTCACCATCACACTCCCCTCGGTATCTGCTGGCGCTGTTGATTCTGCTCTTACCGACAGTTCTCGTGACTCTATTGGCATTCTTGGTGGATATCCTTCTTTTCGTGCCGCATCTAAAATGGGGAGGATGGATAGTGCTTGCCGCAACGATTCTTCTCGTTGCCTGCGGAGTTGTTACATGTGCCATGCGGCGAACGCTGGTCAGTCGCAAGGCGCGAAGGAAGCTTGTATCTGAAAATGCGGAGATGAACGGCGAGAACTATTACGCCCGACAAGACGCAGAAGCTGCTGCAGCGGGTCTTGCCAAAGCGGAGTCCCCCCCTCCTCTCAGTTCAGATCTCAAGACTCCTCTGATCAGCTCCAATTCGAATGCGGACTCTGCGCCTACTTTTACGACCTACAATTCGAGTCGCGCGACAGATGATGGATCGCACACTTTGGCAGACTCTGGGAATCACGGGTTTTCTACGGCGGAAGAGAGTGCCGCGTTTTATGACCATTCAATTCGACCTGTACGTCCAGGATATCACGGTCCGCGTGACGAGTATGGGAACCCAATCCCGCCTGCAGCGTCTGGTACGTCTGAAGGAGGAGGAGGAGGAGCAGGCATGATAAGGTCGAATTCTACCGAGCGAATGTTGCAAAGCCAGTATTCCGATGGTAGTTTGGGCTCCCAAAGAGGTCCGCCTCAGGGATACGGACCTCCGGGACAGCCTCCACGAGGCCGAGGCTACCCGCCTCGAGGCGGATATGGACGGGGAGGGCCGGGACCGATGCCGTATGGCAGTCGTGGACGGGGACCTCCACCAAATGGAAGAGGCGGTTCAGTGCGCGGGATGCGTGGTGGTCCCCCTCCTGGTGGAATGCCTCGAGGCCGGGGTCCTCCACCTGGGTACCCCCCGCGCCGCGATGGATATGACCACTATGCAGCGATGGGCCGTCGACCTTCTGATGGGTCAGGCGGAGGCTATGGGCCAAGTCGTAGCAATTCCAACAACTACTCGCGGCCCTATCCTCCCAGCCATATGCGAAACCCGTCTGCTTCACAGCCTAATCTTCCCGAATTGAATGATCCCAGTTATGCAATTGAGATGATGCCTCAATCCAGCGAGCCGAATCTACGAGTTCGAAATGGGGAAGATCTAGCCCAACCCAATCGGTTTTCCAATAATGAGTCTATTCCTAGTCCAACTAGTGTTTACAGCAATGAGTGAGTTTTCATAACTTTTGCCAAAACTAGATGGCCATATAGTGATGGAGACTAATGCGGGTGCAGGCCTTATGCCCCCCCCCGCTCGGGTTGGGCTGCCCAAGGACGCATGGGCCGCGTGGACGAGCGTGGCATGACCAGCAGCAGCCCGCAGCACACGCGCGAGCCGTCCGGGGACCAGTACTTTGAAGACGTCGATCCTCGGTTCGCCGACGATACTGCTTCTCCAATGCCATCGGCACTCCTAGCCGGAAGACCAAATGGTGAGATAGAGCCACCAGCATCATTGAAGATCCCCGGGGAAAATGCGGGAAACGGACCTTACTCACCAGCTATTAGCGATATAAGCCAAGGAAGCCATTTTACGTCAATTTCAGAGCGACCCATCAATCCTAACTGGCAAGGGCCAGCTGCAGCACCAGCTTCAGGCCCAGCCGCAGCCAATCGCGGACCGCGCGTGCAGGACGTTGTTTTAGACGCGAACCCTGACTTTGAGCTTTCCCGAGGTCGCGGGGATGGCCGATACGGACGGGGAGGCCGAATGACGCCGGTGATAGAAAACAGGGGCCGACGGTATTAGCTCTCTCTCTCTCTCTCTCTCTCTCTCTCTCTCTCTCTCTTTCTAGTTCTTCTTTGTCCGATTCCCCTTACCTTCATGTCAGTCGCTCATCCTCAGAAAAGGAGGAAGGAAGCTTTCTTGGATTCGGCGTTGGTTCTGTGTGTATTTACTATCTGGGACGGGGTTTTTGATTTGGCCAACAAGATGCACATGCTCTTTATTCCATCGTGTTCTATTCCCTCGGTCTTCTATTCTTTATCTCTCTATGCTCGATCATAGAAGAGTATAACTATACGCTCGGGCTCACCGAGCGGTGGGGGATATTGCCGTCTTTCCGTACTTCCGTGGAGTCGCTGACATCATCGGCTCGTAAATGACTTGACTGCCTTCCAAGGTCGCTCACTCTCTTGCGCAATGACGAGAACCAAGCTGGCGGCGGTTTCCTGCTTATTTATACCTCGTCCTCGCCGTGGTCGTTCAACAATAGTACATCAATTCTCTGACCACTACCTAATTGCCACTCACCAACCACCACCAACCACCACCAACCACCATCCTCCTGATATACAACAATACAACATGCCCGTCAACGTCCCCACCGCCGACTCCCTCGCCGACCTCTTCAGCCTCAAGGGCAAAGTGGTCGTTGTCACCGGCGCCTCAGGCCCACGCGGCATGGGCATTGAAGCAGCGCGCGGCTGCGCCGAGATGGGCGCCGACGTCGCCGTCACATACTCATCGCGACCCGAAGGCGGCGAGAAGAACGCCAAAGAACTCGCCGAGAAATACGGCGTCAAGGCCAAAGCCTACAAATGCAACATTGGCGCCTGGGAGGACGTCGAGAAGCTCGTTGCCGACGTGATCGCAGACTTTGGCAAGATCGACGGCTTCATTGCCAACGCCGGCCGAACCGCCAACTCCGGCATCCTCGATGGCTCCGTCCAGGACTGGCAGGAAGTCATCCAGACCGATCTGACGGGCACATTCCACTGCGCAAAGGCCGTGGGTAAACACTTCAAGGAGCGCGGCACCGGCAGCTTCGTCATCACGTCGAGTATGTCGGGCCATATTGCCAATTACCCGCAGGAGCAGACCTCGTACAATGTGGCCAAGGCCGGGTGTATTCACATGGCGCACTCGCTGGCGAACGAGTGGCGCGACTTTGCGCGCGTGAACTCGATTTCGCCGGGTTACATTGATACAGGGCTGTCAGACTTTGTGCCGCAGGAGACGCAGGACTTGTGGAATTCGATGATTCCGTTGGGCCGCAATGGGAATGCGAAGGAGCTAAAGGGCGCGTATGTGTATTTGATCAGTGATGCCAGCTCGTATACGACGGGAGCGGATATTGTGATTGACGGGGGTTATGTTGTCCGGTAATTGGATACACTATATTATAAAATATCATTAATATATCATTTGTTGTTCAGTATCTTGTCAATGCCACCTCTGTAAGGAGAATCAGGAATACTCCATACTCCATGAATCTCGTTTCTGTTGGAATATCCATGGATCTAGTGGACTATGTAAGCACGTGTTAACCTCGGCTCGCCTCATACCCAGTCAGTCCCCAACGCGTTCGCAGTCTGATGAGCTAGATACTTTAGCATCGTGTCGATCTGGCAGATCGTCACCCCAGAAACTGATCTTGCGCGATGTTTGAGGTTGCTTTGTGCAGATACCGAGGTTTTTTTGTTCCCAATCATGTTCGGGCGGTTCCTTATTCGGATCCTCGATAAATAAATATGGCATTCAGTCCCCAAGGCCTAATACTCCTCTCTTTTCAACCTTGAGACAGCATTACTACGCGCAATACATACCTAGTGCATAGTTCTTGGCCATGGACTCGGTGCAAAGCCTCGCCGTCAAGGCTCTCTGTAAGCTGCCTCTGCCCATCCAGGCACTGCTCGCATCGTCCACGACGCGCAATCTCGTCGCCGTCGTCTTCGCATACATGCTCGTCACCCAGTTCAACCGTATCCTGTCAGGCCTTGTCCTGAACAACTGGACCTCTGATACATACGACTGGACACGGGAAATTGTCCTCCTGACAGGCGGATGCAGCGGCATCGGCAAAAGCGTTGCTCGCGACCTCGCCAGCAGGGGGATCAAAGTGTGTGTTGCTGATGTGCTAGACCCGACGGATCCTTTGCGTGCGTATGCTCCCTCCAACCCCCTTCACAAGAGTTCACCAAGGGTCAATGGCTAAGTGAAACAGCACCAAACGTCCACGTCTACAAATGCGACGTCACATCCACCGCCAGCGTCAAAGCCATGGGCATCCAAATCCGACTGGAGCATGGCGACCCAACAGTGCTCATCAACAATGCGGGCATTGGCAAAGAAGGTTCCATCCTGACTAAACCCGAGGCCCTCGTGCGCAAAGTGTTTGAGGTCAACACCATCTCCCACTGGTGGATGGTGCAGGAATTCCTGCCGGCTATGCTGAAGCGCAATCACGGCCATGTAGTGACGGTTGCGAGTGCAGGCAGCTTCTTGGGACTGGGCGAGATGACTGATTACAGTGGCAGTAAAGCCAGTGCGCTTGCCTTTCATGAAGGGTTGACGCAGGAGATCCGCCTGTGGTATAAGGCGGAGAAAGTCAGGACTAGGTAAGAATGAAAAGACCTTTATTTCTCTTCCCTCTTCTTCTGGCGTTTGTGTTGATTTGGATTATGAGTGTCATCCACCCAATCTGGGTCAAGACAGACATGATCCGGCCCATCCTCGACTCGGGCTTGAAGATCAGACAGCCCATTCTTGAAATCGAGGATGTCTCCAAGGCTATTGTCAAGCACGTCCTGAGCGGGAACAGTGGACAGGTCATAATCCCGGGGATAATCAGTGGCGCTAGTCTGCTTCGCGGGCTGCCTAATTGGTTGCAAGAGTATATTCGGAATTTTATCTCGAATGACTTGAAGAAGATTCGCCTGGCACAGGACGCGAGGGAGAGGAAGGCTGGGAAGTTGTGATTGCAGGCAGATATCCACCGGCTGTATATATGATATCGGTATGCCATACGAGGAATGATGAGTAGTTAGCGTTTGCATCTTTACCTAAGCCCGGTGAATTGCCGGCTTTTCAATTTCTAGGGGGGTAAGCAGGGATATTCAGTATGCTAACTATCTATACTCCGTAAGTCAGTCTCTAGAGAATAACCGAGCTAACCACTGCGCGATATTCTCCACCATCTGGTCTGTGCAGGAATGGCCAGCATTCTCCTGCACGAAATAGTCGATGTTCTCGTACCCCTCCGCACGCCTCTTCGCCACCCAAGGCTGCGTGAACTTGTCAGGAACCAGCGAATCCAATTTACCGTTCAGAATATACGTCGGAATATGCCGCGGAAACCGCTCGTCCGTCTCGCGATCAAACCCGGCAAACAACTCACTGAGCGCGCGGGGCCAGCGCGTGCGTTGCGACTTGTTGAGCTTTGCAGAAAGCTCACTATATGGCACGGTGCGTACCTGGTCAAGAGAGACACCGAGCGCGTCTAGGTCCACGCCCAGACGGGACAAAAGCATAGCCGAGAGATTGGGGCAGCCGACTATGATAGCGAGGCCGTGGAGTTTGCCCTTTGTCGCGATTGACGAGGTGGCTAGACGCCAGGATGTGTGTCCTCCTAGTGAGATGCCAGACATGATGTTGTAGAAGGTCTGGAACTCGGGCAGATATGCGGGCAGGTAGTCTATGAGAAGCTCGACATCTTGCGCGGAGCCAGAGACCATGGAGACCAGGTCTTGTCTGTTGTGGACGGAGTTTAGTTGGCGCTCTTTCATGACCAGCCAGGTATTTGATAAAGAGAGGATTTACGCATGCGTCTCGTTCCCTTCTCCCCATCCATCGTTTGCCTGGACACTTATCTGCCGAAGTATCAGTACACTGATCTTCAAATTCGATCGCTTCTTTCTTTGCCTCAAGACTCACCATCCTTTCCCCATGGTTCCGCGCATCAAAAGCAACCGCAATCAAACCCGCCTTTTTCGGTGCGCCATCCCTTCGATACCGGTCCAGAACTTCGTGCGCAAACCCCTCGCTGGTGAGGTAGTTTCGTGTGCGTCCATGTACGTGATAGAGCACGGCCACATCGGAGTATTTTTGCTGCTTGGCTTCTTCGAGGCCGTAGATGTACGCCTTCACGCCGCCGATGACGAGCTCTGTCTTGCTGGCGCGCGGGGTTGTGCTTTTTAGGGAGAACTCGGTGTCCATGTTGATATATAATACCTTGAAGTGCAGGTGTTGTAGTACTTGGTAGCTGTTGTAGCTGCTGTTGTTGTTGTTGCGCCAATAGTTGGAGCGGGGCGGGTGGATTTGTCAGCCTCTTACGGCAGCCTATTCGTACAACCTTGCCAAAATGAATTTTATACATAACTTATATTTTGTCATGAACTACAGTCTAAATTCTATAATATATAAAGGTTATGTAATAGTATAAATGCAAATTAATTAAAACCTTCTATAATAATTATATTAATAGTATAGAAATACCTCTATTAGTAAACAGATAAACTTAAGGTCTTGATAAAAGAAAATAAAAAGAATTCTAGAACTCTTTTTTACTTCTTTATTTCTCTTATATATAATATAAAAAATCCTTTTTTATTTCTCATATAAAAATATTATGTTTATTTAATTAAGAATAACTATTTAAAAGAAATTTTATTAAAATAATTTACTATTATAAATAATTAATAAGTTAACTAATAAAAATTAGTTAATTAAATACTTAATTAATTATTTCTAATTAACTTAGTTTTTAGTTAATAATAAATAAGATATTATAATAAAATAGACTACTTCCTTATTTAATAGTCTACCTTACTAATAAAAATTTAGTATATATTATTAAATATAAAATTTCTATATATCTAACTTATTAATTTACTTTCTTATTTTATATTTATAATTATTTTAAATAATATTATAGACTACTTTTTATACTAAAAATTCAAGCTATAAGTATATAATATATATAAAATATTCAGCTTGTAATTTCTATAGCTAGGTAAACCCAATCTTTAAAATAAATATATTATTATCTCCTATAATTAATCTCTTAAAAGACTCTTTTCTAAGAAGTAATCTATTTAAACCTAGATTATATACCCTTTAAGTATTTTATTAATTACTATTAAAATATTAACAAGTTATTCATCACAGTTATTAAAAAACTATTTTTAGAATATAATAAAATACACTTATATCTAATACTAACAGCCCTATATATAGTAATTAAGCTACTTCTATTCCAGCCTTTTATATACTTTCTATAATAATCTAGCTATATCAGGAAGTATTTAAAAAGAAGAAGCAAATAATCTTTTATAATTAGACTTATATAATGTCAATTCTAATTAATCTAAGTATCAATATTTATTTTAAAATAAAAAATAAATTTATTAAGATGCTTATAAAAAACTTTAATATATAGTCCTATATCTATAAGATATTAGATATATAAGAAGTTATAGTAGCTAGGCAATTTCAAAAAAGTTAAAAATCTCTTATTATTCTATCTAATAATATATAAGCTATAATAAATCTAAAATCTATTTTAATAAAGTATTTTTAAGTAATAAAAAAGAAAAAGAATAAGAGTTATTAATTTATAATTTATTTATATATTAGCATCAAGATAGATAAGGATAATATAAATAATATATTACTTCTATTCCCTATAAAAACTATTAAAGAAAAAGTAACTTATATTTTAGAAATAAAAGTTAAGGAATCCTATAATAATAATAATAATAATAATAATAATAATAATAATAGTAATATAAAGATTAAACTCAAGCCTTTAACCATTAATATTAATGTATTTTACGATACTCAAGATACTTCTAAGAAATTTAATAATAATAATTATACAGATATCTTTAATAATAATCCTAATAATCTTTTTAATAATACTAGCCAAACTAAATGTCAGAGAATCAGAACGTCACAGCCAATGGATCAGGTTAGTCACTACGGGACTAATGCACACCGGAACAAAGGATTACCCGCGAAGCCTTAGGGTTAGGGCATCAGAGGAATCAGAGGATTTCTATGATGGCTATGATCTACGGATCAGAGGAATCAGAGGATTTCTATGAAGGCTATGATGGAGGAAAGCTATATAAGGACGCTCATTTACCATGTATTTAGTTTTCTTCTATCGTCTTGAATTAACTGTGATAACTTGAGTATACGATCTTCTATCGATCAGGATATTCTATCTTGTTTTAAGACTTCATTTGTTTCTTTACAACTTTCGTATACCAGAAGCCTATTAACTTCGCCCGTTAATAGCTATCCTAGCTATACTCGACGGTAAATAACCGAAGTTTCCGACAATTCAAGACCCTCAGTTGAAAGAGAAGTCTTAAGGATAAGTAACGATGGCACCTCAAACCCTAGTTCCAGCAACTCTGAGTCCCAACTCGCGAACTACTAACACTAGCAGTGGGAATACCACGACTACTAATAATAGGGATATAGCAGCGTTATTACAACGCATTGAAGAACTGGAATGAGCAGTGGTTAATAATGAAGGAAAAACAAGCTAAACACCTCGAGAAATCAAGATTGGAACAGTAACTCTGTTCAAGGGAGAACGTGGAACCCTTAAGGTATACCTTGCTCAGATACGACTCTATTTTATGCACAATAGTGAATGAATTGTGAGTGAGTCTGATAAAGTACTAGTAGCATCAAGCTTTCTCGATGGAGAAGCTATGAAGTGGTTTGCTCCGTACATCACCGACTGGTATCGCGCAAATGGCAATGAAGAACAAAGAAACCCTGAGACAATCACAATGTTTTCTAGTTACTGGTACTACAAAGAAAAACTTAACCAGTTATGGGGAACTATTAATGAGAAAATCAAAGCCGTTAATAAGATACAATATATTAAATAATAAACCTCAGTTAAAGAATATATTTTGAAATTCTTACAGACATTAGAAGGATTATCATGGAACAACCAAGGATTCAGAGACCAGTTTTATAAAGGACTGAAAGACAATGTTAAAGATTAAATCTCAATGATGACACCACAACCTGAAATATTTTAAGCAATGATAGAAGCAGCATCCCAGATTGATTTAACTATCTATATCCGATGAATGGAAAAGGGAGAATTCAGAAGGAATAAAGTAAACTTATATTAGAAATAAACTAAAGACAAGGATAAAGATATAATAATGTAACTGAACGCAACCTTGTCTAAAGAAGAAAAAGATAAATTAAGAAAAAATAAAGCTTGTTTTAATTGTGGAAAACCAGGTTATTTTATGAATCAATGCCGAAAGCCAAAAAAGAACCAGAAACTGGCCACTTTAGGTTTAAAGGAGCAAGTCGCAACAATGATTCCACTAGTTTCAATTGATAACAGTGAAGCTGACGAAATAGCTGACGATGAGATCAATTCTGATAAAGATTTGAAGCAATCAGTTGAAAACGAAGAACGATGATTAGAATGGATAATGAACTATGAATGAATCTGAGCAGAATGGATACAACAAACCAAAGAGCAGAAGGCTCCAGAACAACTAAAAGAAATGCTTAGCGACCTAAGCAAGAAAGGTAAAAGATAGAAGAGATTCAGCCTTAGAAGGAGTGTTGAATAAGCAAGACGAGTTAGCACCGATACAAGGAAGGGACGCCAACCTTACGATTCGGGGGAAGAATCAATCGGCCAGGCATTTCTCGTACATCACCTCGAAAATACGAAAGACTCATCAGAAGAATGCAGTAAAGACGCCGATTCAGAAGAAATTGACGCAGAAGACTTTGGTATAGAAGATACTCGAGCAAAATCCCCATTGGAAGAGTCGCTTTATACTCAACCAACGTTGCAGGATGATGGGCCAACGACGATAACTCATGAGGACCTGTACCGAGAATCAGACGAAAACCCTGTTGAGGAAAAACCAAAAGAAGCATGGGACGATGCTACTTGGCCTCAAGAGAATGACCGGTGTAGTTGCACGTCGGCAAACGCAACTTGCTGGGAGAGGTCTCAAAAGAAATGGAAAGATCACATCGAAGAATGCAAACACTGTAAAGAATGGACATATCATGTGTGCCAACGACATGGACGAATGCATGCACCCCTAGCGAACATGTACGAACATATATCGCACGAGCGAGGACGACGCTTTTGCAATGGAATGACTGGACATGTGAGGAATTGCTCTTGTCATCACTATCCAGCACTAGGAGGAAATTTGCATTAGGAAGTACATTGGACAATGTGTTACGACTCATCATGTGAAATGCATCTTGCRGAAAAAGAACAAAAGGGATGGTTTCCAAGAATCCCAGAAGTGATTGAAGAATCAAGACTCGAATGTCCACAGGAATGGATAGAATGTCAGTGTRTCTATCAAGAACCCGCACACCCCTATCACRAYGACATCACAATCACCRAATGCRAGGCAGAAGGACCRCACRAACAGCATTACCATAGTGTCAAAGAATATTTCAAATATCAACAAAGATACCAGGAAAGGCACATGATCACAACCAAACTTATTGCAACAACTACAGAACARAAAGCAGTCAGTYAAAYAGTGRTRATACTAGCAAAGATCAACAGAAAAGATRCAAGAATCTTRTTAGATTCAGGAGCAGCCTATAATTATATTAGAGAAAAATTTGTGAAAAAAGCAGGACTGTCCAYAACCCAGACTAACAAATARGCAACAATCATCTYTATTAGTRGAGAAACAATCAGTCAAGRCTACAAGAGACAGGCACYRAATRTTRTTGTGAAATCAGGACAATACACCACAACAGTTATGCTTGATATCGCACCAGTATTAAAAGAATATTATGATGCTGTATTCGGAATGGTATGGTTACGAACACAAAATCCGATAATCGACTGGATAAAAGGAATAGTGATCGTTGATAAGACAAAGCTGAATACATGAATGATCAAAAAGAGTATTGAAGAAATTRCACAGCTACRTRAGGAATYAGGGAAAATCCTYAGTAYGCTACCRGAAGCTGAAAGGTCAGCAYRGAAGGCAAAAGAACAGGAAYGGAAGGTGAYRTTCGCTRAAGATATTRAATATATYAAYAAAGGAAATAAAGYACGAAACAYAGGAAAGCCAYAAAAYRGTCAGAGAGACTTGAGTGATGAAAATGAAATAYGAATYAAGAGCAACGGAACGAAGGAGATTAGGACGATCTGATAAGCATGAACAGTCGAAAAAATG